CTTGCCACAATTTATTATGATCCACACAGTCAAAGGCTTTAAAATAGTCAATGAAACAGAGATAGATGTTTTTCTGAAACTCCCTGTCTTTCTCCGTTATCCAGCATCCGGATATTGGCAATCTGGTCTCTCCTTCCTCTGCCTTTTCTAAACCCAACTTGTACATGTGGCAACTCTCTCTCCATGTATTGCTGGAGACTTCCTTGCAGGATCTTGAGCAATACCTTACTGGCATGAGAAATAAGAGCCCTTGTACGGAAGTTTGAGCAGTCTTTAGCATTTCCCTTTTTTGGTATGGGGATATAAGTTGATTTTTTCCAGTCTGGTGGCCATTCTTGTGTTATGATTCATAACAGTAGCAAAATGTCAGTTATGAAGAAGCAACGGAAACAATGTTATGGTTGGGGGTCACCACAACGTGAGGAACTGTGTTAAGGGGTCGTGGCTTTAGGAAGGTTGAGAAAGACTGCTATAACTGGCACATCAGATTTTCACAGGCTGCAAGAGTTGCAGATGGTGGGTTGTGACTTCTCAGCGTTCAAGGCTGAGGAATCTGAAGAGCATTCCTTGCTTCTTGCAAATGAATGGGAGGCATCCTCCTGCACAGATCGCCTTGAAATAAGCATGAAAGGATTGTCTGAAGCTGCAATGTGGGTTACAAGGGGCAGAGGAGTTGACAGGATAGGGAGAGGGAGATGATTCAGCTGTGAGCCAAATCATGGAGACGTGTCACTTAGCAACCATGCAGCCCTAGGATGCCAAATGTGGGTTGCATTGCTGGAAGCGTCTAAATTAAGCATGTTTCAAAGAGAATGCAGGGCTTTCTCTTTGAAGTCCCACTGCCAAATTAAGCATGTTGGCAGCGGGACTTCAGCGACCTTGCTGGGAAGGGGATGGGATGAATGGAAGACCCCTGAGCGCTGTGGAAATTGGTTGTGTGCACACAGAAAGAAAGGATGGCTCAAGTAAGACTAGCCCAATCCTCTTAAAACAGGAACTGGCCACCCATAGTCCTCCAGAAGTCGCCAGACTGCAGTAAACACAATACTTCACCACTGGATATGATGGCTAGGACTGATCTGGGCTTTATCTCAGTGGTTCAGGACCAGTATTGCATGCAGCTTTCAATCCCTGGCATTAAATCCAACTTTAATCTTTGACGTCTCAAGTAAAAAGATGAGTCAGAAGCACTTTGTGGGAAAGGTAATATTCGCAATGCACATTAACTGCTGTTTATTCTCTCTTTAACTGCCTTTTTATGGTATCCTAGGATTTGCGGTTTGGTGGGATGTGTAGAATACTCCTGTGGATTCCCCTGAATGACAGCATGAGACCAAAGAACTACAAATGCGAAGGATCCATCCGATGGAGCCATGGCAATTCAAGTGGTATCAATGTGCTATAACTTGATAGTGCGAAGGCATCTAAAGACTCTGGCCGGCATTGATGGCACAAAGGCAGATGCACACTCATCACCATAATGTTGCCCAAACCTTGATTCAAAAGAACCATTTTATATTTTCATAGGGCCCCTATGCAGACGGTTAAACTGCTGAACTTGCTGACCAAAAGGTCAGCAGTTCAAATCCAGGGAGCAGGGTGAGCTCCCACTTGGGCCCAGCTTCTGCCAACCTAGCAGTTCGAAAACATGCAAATGTAAGATCATAGGTACCGCTCCGGTGGGAAGGTAACAGTGCTCCATGCAGTCATGCTGGCCACATGACCTTGGAGGTGTTTACGGACAACGCCAGCTCTTTGGCTGAGAAATGGAGGTGAGCAGCACTCCGCAGAATCGGACATGACTAGATTTCATGTCAGGGGAAACCTTTACCTTTATATTTTCATAAACTTAGTATTATCTGGCTATAAAGCAGGTTTCTACTTTGTGGATTATACATTGCTTTACTGATCATTGCACCATGTTGTTTAGTATAGTCAGCTCTGACTGGCGACCATGTCCTTCAAGGAATGGGGGTTCTGTGTGGGACGTTTGGCCCAATGCTATCGTCGGTGGGGTTCAGAATGTTCTTTGATTGTAGGTAAATGATAAATCCCAGCAATGACAACTCCCAAATGTCAAGGTCTATTTTTCCCAAACTCCACCAGTGTTCACATTTGGGCATATTGAGTATTCGTGACAAGTTTGGTCCCGACCCATCATTGTTTTGAGTCCACAGTGCTCTCTGGATGCCAAAACTCAAGGTCAGCGCCCACCAAACCCAGTATTTTCTGTTGGTCATGGGAGTTCTGAGTGCCAAGTTTGGTTCAATTCCATCATTGGTGGAGTTCCAAATACTCTGATTGTAGGTGAAATATATAAATCCCAGCAACTACAACTCCCAAATGACAAAATCACTCCCCTGCAACCCCACCAGTATTCAAACTTGGGCATACCAGGTATTTGTGTCAAATTTGGTCCAGTGAACGAAAATATATCCTGCATATCAGAATATTTACATTATGATTCATAACAGTAGCAAAATTAGTTATGAAGTAAATCATTTTATGTACATGCGGCCTGCTCTCGGTCATTATGTTTGGTTTCTATGTTTTGTGTATGTTGTATATATGCTCTGATGTTTTATACTTTATTGTTATGTTGTTTATTTTACTGCAATTTGTATTTTTGTATTGCAATTTGTTGTTCGGGCTTGGCCCCATGTAAGCCGCTCCGAGTCCCCATTGGGGGAGATGGTGGCAGAGTATAAATAAAGTTTATTATTATTATGAAGTAGCAATGAAAATAATGTTATGTTTGGGGGTCACCACAACATGAGGAACTGTATTAAGGGGTCCACGGCATTAGGAAGCTGGGAAACACTGCCCTAAGCTTTGGTGACTTTGCTTAGACTCCCTGCCCCATCTGGTGGCCAAATAAGAAACACAGTGTTTAACAAAGATTCAGTCTGCAATGGGTCAGGAGCATATGTTGCTCCAAGGATGCCAAATCTGTTGTCTAACATTCATTATTCCCCCATTCACAAGATAACCTATCATGGCTCTTTAACTACTGTGCTGTGGCCAACACAACCTCATCTCTGAGCCTCTTCCACACAGTTGTATAAAATCCACATTGAACTAGATTATATGGCAGTGTGGACTCCGATAACCCAGTTCAAAGCAGATATTGTGGATTATCTGCCTTGATATTCTGGGTTATATGGCTGTGTAGAAGGACCCTGAGAGCTGCCCATCCCTGACTGTAACTGAGTGCCCTTCCACACAGCCCTATATCCCAGAATATCAAGGCAGAAAATCCCACAATACCTGCTTTGAACTGGGTTATGAGTCCACACTCAGATAATGTGGGATTTTATGCTTTGATATGCCACATAGTTAAAGCAATGGTATTTCCCGTAGTAACCTATGGATGCAAGAGCTGGACCATAAGGAAGGCTGAGCGAAGGAAGATTGACGCTTTTGAACTGTGGTGTTGGAGCAGTGGTTCCCAACCCTTTTTTTTTAACAGGGACCACTTTGAACAGGGACCACTTGACCGGGAGCCCCCGGAGGCGCAGTGGGTTAAAGCCCTGTGCTGGCAGGACTGAAGACTGACAGTTCACAGGTTCGAATCCGGGGAGAGGCGGATGGGCTCTCTCTATCAGCTCCAGCTCCTCATGCGGGGATATGAGAGAAGCCTCACACAAGGATTATAAAGCATCAAATCATCCAGGCATCCCCTGGGCAACGTCCTTGCAGATGGCCAATTCTCTCACAACAGAAACGACTTGCAGTTTCTCAAGTCGCTCCTGACATGACAAAAAAACCAAAAACCAAAAGAGTTATGAATCAGTTTTTGATAAACTTTAGATTCGTTTCGGTTATTTGGGATGCTAATTCAGGGCCCTACCACACAGCCCTATATTCCAAAATATCAAGGCAGAAAATCCCACACTATCTGCTTTGAACTGGGTTATCTGAGGGCCCTTCCATACAGCCCTCTACCCCTCAGAATATCAAGGCAGGAAATCCCACATTATCTGAGTGTGGACTCAGATAACCCAGGGCCCTTCCACACAGCCCTATATCCCAGAATATCAAGGCAGGAAATCCCACATTATCTGAATGTGGACTCAGATAACCCAATTAAAAGCAGATATTGTGGGATTTTCTGAGTGTGGACTCGGATAACCCAGGGCCCTTTCATACAGATCTCTATCCCAGAATCTCAAGGCAGGAAATCCCACATTATTTAAGTGTTGACTCATAACCCAGGGCCCTTTCATACAGACCTCTATCCCAGAATATTAAGGCAGGAAATCCCACATTATCTGAGTGTGGACTCAGATAACCCAGGGCCCTTATCTGAGTGTGGACTCGGATAACCCAGGGCACTTCCATACAGCCCTTCCACACAGCCCTCTATCCCAGAATATCAAGGCAGAAAATCCCACATTATCTGAGTGTGGACTCAGATAACCCATTTCAAAGCAGATATTCTGGAATATAGGGCTGTGTGGAAGGGCCCTTAGAAAATTGCATTGACTAGACCAAAGCAGCTCTAGTTTCTGATACAGAACATATGTCATTCAGTTGTCGACATCTACTCGCCCACAGAAAACCATACTTAATAATTTAGAGCCATTTTAGGCCCACAGGTTGGGAACCATTGTGTTGGAGGAAAATTCTGAGAGTGCCTTGGATTGCATAAGATCAAACCAGTACATACTCCAGAAAATAATGCCTGGCTGCTCACTGGAGGGAAGGTATTAGAGGCAAAGATGAAGTCCTTTGGGCACATAATGAGAAGACAGGAAAGCTTGGAGAAGAGAATGATGCTGGGGAAAATGGAAGGAAAAAGGAAGAGGGGGCGACCAAAGGCAAGGTGGATGGGATGATATCCTTGAAGTGACTGGCTTGACCCTGAAGGAGTTGCGGGTGGCAACAGCCAACAGGAAGCTCTGGCCTGGCCTGGTCCATTGGGTCACAAAGAATTGGAAGCGACTGAACAAACAAAGAACAACAAAAACAGAGAAATGTGTTAAGATAAAAAAAAAACATTTGGTTTCTTTTCATTTTTAATTTAAACCATGGTTTGTGAAGAGATCAAAGAAGTGCCACACAGAATCCGAAATCAACATGGCGGAAAAGCTAGAAATAACAGCATGAGGTCAACAGGCTAGACTGCAAGGAAGCCAGCAGCTGGGAAACAAAAGTTGTGCTCTTTTAGGGGACGCAGTGATGATATCCAACCTGTCCTGCCCCAGCCTCCCTCCTCCAATAATGCAGAGGTCAAGGCAAAGGTGCTTGTCAGCGTCTCCCTTTGGGAATGGAGCCGCCCAGCCTGAAGTCTCCCGTGGAGAGGAAAGTGCTTTCTCTGATGAACTCTTCTCAAGCAGGCTAGGAAGTGCACTGTCCCTTGGGCCACACGTCATTCCCTAACTGAGCCCTGCTTCGCTGCCGCTGTCCTCATCAACTTGCGACAAGTCCTTCTCCGCGTCTCTCTTCTCCACAAAGTTGAGGATGCGCCGGTTGGCTTGGATCAAGAACTGCTGCTGCCGGAAATAGACCTTCAGGGCTCCCTTGATGGCCACGAAAGCAATGCCACCCTGCCAGCAAGGAAAGCAATGTTATGTGAGTGGGCTTATTAACAAAAGACCCTTCTCATAAATGTATATCAGAGTAACTTATTTGCAGCAGCGTGACCTGGTACCAATAGTCCAAAGTGAGAAAAAGAACAAAAACACACAGACCAATGTTATATCTTCCATAGGAGGGTTCCCTCTCTAATAAAACAATAAGGTTGCACTATTTACAAGAACAATATTTCCATAACACAAATAAACAAATACATAGTAGGTTGTTGTAGGTTGTTTTGAGTTTTCTGGGCTGTCTGGCTATGTTCCAGAGGCATTCTCTCCTGACATTTGCCATTCATTTGCAGGCATCCTCAGAGGTTGCGAGGTCTGTTGGAAACTAGGAAATAGGATTTATATATCTGTGCAATGTCCAGCGACATTCCACCCTGGACATTCCACAGATATATAAACCCCATTTTCCTCACAACTTCTGAGGATGTCTGCCATAGATGCAGGCGAAACGTCAAGAGAGAATGTTTCTGAAACATGGCCATACAGCCAAGAAAACTCACAACAACTCAGTGATTTCGACCATGAAAGCCTTCAATAATACATGAAATACATAGTAGCTTCACATGCAGCAGATTTCACACTGGAGCTTTCTCACATGAGGCTTCTCTCATATTGAGGTATACCTCACTCTCCTCAGGACAACACTAGCTTTGGCCCACCTACTCTAACAGGTTTTGGCCTACTCACTCTCCTCAGGACGACACTAGCTTTGGTCCACTGACTCTAACAGGCTTCGGCCTACTCACACTCAAAGGTCTGGAGAACAAGCTTCATGAGGAGCGGCTTAAGGAGCTGGGCATGTTTAGCCTGAAGAAGAGAAGGCTGAGAGGAGACATGATAGCCATGTATAAATATGTGAGAGGAAATCACAGGGAGGAGGGAGCAAGCTTGTTTTCTGCTGCCCTGGAGGCTAGGACGTGGAACAATGGCTTCAAACTACAAGAAAGGAGATTCCATCTGAACATGAGGAAGAACTTCCTGACTGTGAGAGCCGTTCAGCAGTGGAGTGTGGTGGAGGCTCCCTCTTTGGAAACTTTTAAACAGAGGCTGGATGGCCATCTGTCAGGGGTGCTTTGAATGCAATATTCCTGCGTCTTGGCAGGGGGTTGGACTGGATGGCCCATGAGGTCTCTTCCAACTCAATGTTCTATGATTCTATGATTATGCAATGCTTTTGATACAAAAGCAAGCAAGCAAACAAGCTTGGCTCCTTCACTCTAAAAACCAGAACTGAAACACAGCCTCTGGGCAGGCTGGGTTATTGGTGTCATGGCACTGTAGCAGAGAAGCTGCCTTGTACCACATTCAGTGATTCCTTGGAGATCTGACCCAGATATTGCTGTGGGTTTACCTGGCAGCTTTCCCGATCTCAGTACTTACCAGGATGGTACGCTGGAGGCTAGAGTTCACCCTACGGAACATCACTCGACCGACCAGGTTGGCAATGGAAGGGAAAACCAGGGCCCCACAGAGTGTGCGTGAGATGGAGAGGTGGTCGCTCTGGTAGCGCGACTCGGCCAGCGGGACTTGTGGAATGGGACGGCTGACCCCTGGCAGGATGGGAAGAGAATCAACAAGGAGAAAATGAGGCGAGGGAAGCTCAGAGATGCAGTCCTAGAAGACAGAAATGTCCCCACCTGAATTATACAGATATGGAGTTGCAACGGATTTGCACAACCAAGTGGAAACCCCAGATATCTTCTGTGTATTATGCATTGAGTGCACAAGGCAGGGAGATTAATTCCTGCTGCCTCCCAGTTTCTGCACACTCGAAGCAAACACCAGGGTGAGGAGGAGCGTGCAAGGCTCACCTTGCCCCAAAACTTGCAGGGCCTGGAGCTTGCTGGAGTACTTCCGCCAGACACGTAGCACATAATCTTCCCAGCGGATCATCTTCCCTAGAACCAGCATGACTGGGATGGTGGGCAACCCCATGAGCAAGAAGAGCGGGTCCGCCCGCTCCATCACGTCCAGGCCCTTTTTGTGGCCAACAACCTGAAAAAAGGAGGGGACACGGCCAGTGATTTCTAACATCAATGCTTGATGAAGCAGCCTGTGAACTTTGAAAGCTTGTAGAATTTATTTTGGATCTCTTTTTTGGTCTAGAAAGGGTATTAATTCATTTACCATATATACTCGAGTATAAGCCGACCCGAATATAAGCTGAGGCACTTAATTTTACCACAAAAAACTGGGAAAACAGATTGACTCGAATATAAGCCCAGGATGGGAAATGCAACAGATACTGGTAAATTTCAAAATAAAATTATATTAATAATTACCAATAAAATTATATTAATTGAGGCATCAGGAGATTAAATGTTTTTGAATATTTACATAAAACTGTAATTTTTACATAAAACTTGCATACCCTTCCATTAAAAATAGAGTAAAATAATAAATGTAATAATAACAATAATAGAGTAAAATAAATGTAATAATAACAACAATAATAAAGTAAAATAATAAATGTAATAATAATACATTTATTATGTATTTATAACAGAGTAAAATAATAAACATTGACTCGAGTATAAACCGAGAGGGACTTTTTCAGCCCCCAAAAAAGTCTGGAAAACTAGGCTTATACTCGAGTATATACAGTATATTTCTGCTTGGCCAATGCAGCTGCCCCAGAAAATAAGATTTTCAGCCAAGTTACTGATATTTAGAACACAGCTTGGAGATGTTCACAGGCTGGAATGTTTCCAGAGGAGAACAGCTAAAACAATCAAGGGTCCTATGAGGAGAGGCTGAAAGCTGGGCATGTTTAGCCTACAGAAAAGAAAACTGAGAGGAGACAGAATGGCCATATACAGGGAGGAGGGAGCAAGCTTGTTTTCTGCTGCCCTGGAGACTAGGACACAGTGGAACAATGGCTTCAAATGACAGGAAAGGAGATTCCACCTGAACATTAGGAAGAACTTCCTAACTGTGAGAGCTGTTCAGAAGTGGAACGCTCTCTCTGTGTCCGAGTGTGGCGGAGGCTCCTTCTTTGGAGGCTTTTAAACAAAGGGTGGATGGCCATCTGTCAGGGGTGCTTTGAATGCGATTTTCCTGCTTCTTGGCAGAATGGGGTTGGACTGGATGGCCCACGAGGTCTCTTCCCACGGTATTATTCTATACTGTTTTATTTACTTTTTTTGATTTAGAACTCCAGGAATATCACAAGACTATCCAAGCTCTGGTGAAGAAAATATTGTAGTTTTGCTTGGAAATTCAGCTTTGACAAAATATATACTTGAAGATGAGTTTTTAAGTTCTTTTCATGGGCTGAAAAAGCCTCCTTGGCTTATAATGGGGTCAAGGTCGGGCAGTGGAGCCTGGAGGCCATTGCTTGCAATATATGATATATTTCTTTCTCCTCTTCCCCTCCCTTAAAGTGTGTTTTCTTTTCCAGTCAAAAATGAGGGAAGGATGGAAAGGAGATATATTTTATGTCCTTCTTGTTTGTATGGCTCTTTCAAATCCACCCAATTCCCTGGCTTTTTGTGTGTGTGGTTATCTAAATGTACGTCAAGACAAGTTTATTTGATGCTGAGACCATAAGTCTTTCACATATAAGGTAAACAAATAAATACATGACAACCAAAGTATATGTATACATTATTTATATATATGACTTTTCCCCTTATGTTTCCAAGACTTTGCAAATCCTATATAGATATCGATAAATATATAGAGGCTCCTATATATCTGTATATATCTCTTTCTCTCTGTGTATGCATATGTGTATATATATATAAATAATTTTATATAGTAATTTTCCCCTCACATGTTTGCAAGTCTTTGCAAATCCTGTATAGACATAATTATTTAAGTACAGAGAGATACCTAGATAGATATCTATGAAAATAGATATATAGGGCTTGCAAATATTACAGGGGGGAAATGCACACACAAATATATATAGACATGTCTAGGTAGATATGAATATATTTATTTTATTTATATACAAAGACAAAGTGTGCATACATAGTGATGCATACTATGCATACATATTCTTATCCAAAGTCTGTGTAACTACCACAGAATGTAGCCAGTGAGTTTTTGTTGTTTACGGGGATTTTTTTTTTTGTCATGTCAGGAGCGACTTGAGAAATTGCAAGTTGCTTCTGATGTGAGATATAAACCAGAATCACTTCTGGTTTACGAGGATGTTCTTGAGGTATAACACTGTAGCCATAATATCGGACAGGGTGGCTCTGGTTACATAATATTGCATTTACAGTATTTCTAACATAGCACAAATGGCAGTGCTCAGCAAAACAATACAGGCTGTGAGTAAGATGTCAGCTATCAAAATTGAGTTAATCAGGCCAATTACAACAGATCAATTGAATATTTAATTTTATGCCAACAATCACAATCTATAGAAGCAGTAAGCAATATTATCTCAGTCAGTCAGTAGCCTTTATTTTGGTCAACAAACCTTCGGCTAAGTCAAGTGAAAGTAGAATAATGAAATACAACATTTGAGTAATTAATAATATCACATTTGGCTTCTGATTAATGATAGCAAGTATCACCATTCGCTCTTGGTTGAATGACTGTCTTTATAATCTAAAACAGAAACTGATTGCTAATTAATAGTAAGTCTCCTGAGTACTCTTTGTTACACTCTTAGCATTTACAGGTTATTCACGAAGCACTTGCAGCTTTTGTCTGCTGCAAAGAGAAATTTGGCCACCTGTTCTGTTACCCTTTTGTCAAGATCAGACAGTAAATAAGTGCAATACCAACTTAGGGTTCTTCCTGGCCACTTGGTGAGTAGAGGGGATATTAACATTAGTCTATCATCCTTGTATACTGTGCAAATAAAAAGTACATGTATTACAGTTTTGATTTTACCCTCCCCGCAAGGGCAAATAGATATGAATATAGATATATAGGGCTTGCAAATATTGCAGGGGAAATGCAAACACATATAGTGAGAGATGTCTAGATAGATATAAACATGGATATATAGGGCTTGCAAATATTGCAAATGGGAAATGCACATACATAGAGAGGATTTGCAAACGTTTCAGGAGGAAATGCATATGTGAAATTAGTATATATAATTATAGATCTATATTTAGCTCTGCATTATTTATATAGGCATTTAATGTTTGCCTGTTACTATGTTGGAAGCTGGCCTGAGTCCCCATGGAGAGATAGGGTGTGATACAAATGAAGTATTATTTTTATTATTATCATTATTATTGTTATTATTATTATTATTCTGACACAAAAACACTATGACACAGCAAACGAGATATATATGCTGGATTTCGTATCACAAAATCACATGTCGAACACTTCCCAAGCGTCTAGGACTGTGTGATATATTTTCGAATGATGCGCACAGATCCAAGTAAGGTGGCCTTTTGCAGTTGAAAGATCGTGGTTTCATCAATGTTTATTGTTTCTAAATGCTGGCTGAGATCTTTTGGCACAGCACCCAGGGTGCTGATGACCACTGGGACCACATGTACTGGTTCATGCCAGATCCTTTGCAGTTCGATTTTGAGGTCCTGATAATGGCTGAGTTTTTCTTGTTGTTTTTCCTCAATGCGGCTATCTCCTGGTATGGCGACATCAATAATCTGAACTTTTTTCTTTTTCACAATCATGATGACTGGTGTATTGTGTTCCAAAACTTTGTCAGTCTGGATTCGAAAGTCTCACAATATTTTTGTGTGTTCATTTTTCACTACCTTTGCAGGTTTATGATCCCACCAGTTCTTTACTACTGGCAGGTGGCATTTGTGGCATAAGTTCCAATTAATCATTTGGGCCACAGAGTTGTGCCTCTGTTTGTAGTCTGTTCGTGAGATTTTCTTGCAGCAGCTGAGCATATGATCAATGGTTTCATCAGCTTCCTTGCACAGTCTCATTTTGGGTCATCAGCTGATTTTTCGATCCTGGCCTTAATTGCATTTGTTCTGATGGCTTGTTGTTGTTGTTGTTGTTGTTGTTGTTGTTGTTGTTATTATTATTATTATTATTATTATTATTATTAAGTTATTGTTGATACCATGTTGTTTTTATTGGCCTTACTTTTCCACTTACAGAGTTAGTTTACTGTTTTTCTTTGAAATACTGTAAACATTTAAAAACATTTAACCTACGGATGCCTCAATTAATTTAACTGTATGTGTATCTATTTTTATCTTGAAATTTACCAGTACCTGCTGCGTTTCCCACCCTCGGCTAATACTTGAGTCAAGAAGTTTTCCCAGTTTTTTGTGGTAAAATTAGGTGCCTCGTCTTATATTTAAGTCAGTTTATACTTGAGTATATACAGTAACCCTTTTCTGATCCAACTGAGTAATCATCCAAAGTGGTTACAGTTCCACTGATCAATCCCATTGAACTTTGTTTCGTCCGATTCAGGAAGAGATCCACCCACATGGACAACCACCTTAGGCACATTCTTCTCCCACAAAATCAAAATTACCTGCATCACCGTGACAGCTCCGTATGTGACTGCCGACCAGTAGAGCGTCCCCACCACAATGCCGGCTGCGGCAAAGGGACTCACTTTAGATAAAACCCGGTCCACTTGCTGCAAGGAATAAACCAAGGGGCCTAAAAAGAAAAGATTTTCAAAATGTGAGACCTGCAGGCATTCCATGACTTGACTCTGAGCAATCATCTCCTTTCGTTGGTGGACATTTAGGCACCCCCAGATACATTTGATATATTTCTCTTTTCTAAGGAAATCTTATGAATAAATAGAGTGAAAACCCTCATGATTCATTGTAAGCTTTCAACAGTGGACTATCTGCTCTCAAGAAACACTGGAATAGACTTGCCAGCTTTGTACTCACCCAGCTTGGGGAAAACAATGCGATACTCGGTGCCACACTGAGGACAACTCACGCTGCCTGTGCTGTTGCCTTTCTGCTTCTCGTCCAGCCACCGCTGGAGGCAGGCCTGGTGGATCCATTTGGTGGAACCCTTGCAACGGCAGGGACAGACCCACTCGGCTGACCGGTCATCGCCCTCAGTGGCAAAACAGACCCAGCAATGCCTGGGAGGTAAAGACAACAAGAAAAAATAGTGTTTAGAGCAGGCAATGCAGAGGCTGGGAAAGTGAGAAGGACTTAGAAGACCCAGGTTCAAGTCGTTCACTGAGACACCAGTTCCTCCTAACTAACTTTGAGCCAGGCACTTTCTCCTTCACAGCCCTGCGCACATCAGAAAGCGGAATGTTTTGAGGAAAAAACTAGTACAAGGCCCATCTCTCTGGCCTGCCCTTGTATCCTATTACCGTACTTCCTCCTCTGCCTCTCAGATCTCGCTCCTGAAGACTGCAGTGAAGTGGTGCAGGTGCACATGTGCGAGATCAGAGAGGCAGAGAAGGAGGTACAGTAATAGGAAAATTACCATATTGATATCAAATCTGATGCTTTTAAAAATTTTATTTGGTGTGTGTTGGAAAAGGAGTAGTCTTATACAGTGAGTATATCCCAAACTCTATATTTTAACTGAAAAAGGTTGTCTTATATGCCCAGTTGTCTTATATGCCGGAATATACGGTAATGGTATTCCCTGTAGTAACCTATGGATGCGAGAGTTGGACCGTAAGGAAGGCTGAGCCAAGGAAGAGAGATGCTTTTTAAAAATATATTTTTATTGTTTTATAGTTATGTATTTATCGTGCCAGGAGCGAACCAAACAGTTGTATTGCATTAAAAACAAACAAACAATCAAAACACAAAGTTTGCAGACTTGCTATTCTATTAAATGTCCTTTGACTAGTAGCTGGCCACTTGGAGTGCCTCTGGTATTGCTATAAGAAGGTCCTCCATTGTGCATGTAGAAGGGCTCAGGTTGCATTGCAGTAGGTGGTCTGTGGTTTGCTCTTCTCCACACTCGCATGTCGTGGATTCCACTTTGTAGCCCCATTTCTGAAGGCTGGCTCTGCATCTTGTGGTGCCAGAACACAGTCTGTTCAGTGCCTTCCAAGTCACCCAGCTTTCTGTGTGCCCAAGAGGGAGTCTCTCATTTGGTATCAGCCACTGACTGAGCTTTTGGGTTTTAGCCTGCCACTTTTGGACTCTCGCTTGCTGAGGTGTTCTAGCGAGTGTCGTTGTAGATCTTAGAAAACTATTTCTTGATTTAAGTCATTGGCGTGCTGGCTGATACCCAAACAGGGGGTGGGCTGGAGATGTCACTGCCTTGGTCCTTTCACAACTGCTCACTGGAAGGAAGGACATTAAAGACAAAGATAAAGTACTTTGGTCACATAATGAGAAGTCAGGAAAGCTTGGAGAAGAGAATGATGGAAAATGGAAGGAAAAAGGAAGAGGGGCCGACCAAGGGCAAGATAAATGGATGGTATCCTTGAAGTGACTGGCTTGACCTTGGAGGAGCTGCAGGTGGCCACGGCCGACAAGGAGCTCTGACATGGGCTGGTCCAGGAGGTCACCAAAAGTTGGAAATGAGTGAACAGATAAACAACAACATCAACAGTGCAGTTCCTCTGAAGAAATAGGTTTTAGAATAATTCACATATTAGTCCATTAACACGTATGAAACATTCTGAAAACTCACTGTAATCATTCATTAATATTACTACTTTGCATCTTTAAAATTAGGCCAAATGCAGAGGCGTAGTTCAGATGTGAGGCAGCCGCACCCAACGTATGCCACTTTTGCTATGCATTTCCTGAGTGTTTAATGCACTTGACATACTCAAGAGCTTATTAAAGGTCAGATTTATTCTTCATCGTAGACTAATACTTAAAAAAACAGAAGGGGTGGGGAAAACCCTGAACAATCAGAATGCTAAAGGTAACCTGTCAGTAGATGATATTTTAACCTGGGACTTCCTGGTTTCTTAGTTAATTTATACTACAGTTTTTAAAATTAGGTATTGGTATCTCCCGAGCCATTAACCTTGCTAAATTTTCAGTGCTTGTCTTCCAGTGATTCATAATGACATCCATGACTCTCCTCTCCACTTTATACGATAATTTTGTGGGTCTGGCAGAGCCTGACTGGTTGGCATCAAGTCAAACAGTTGGTTATATGGTTTGCTGAAGAGCAATTTTTTTTTGTATGCCAGTCCAATACACCACGCTATCACTCTCTATCTTGTACACGTATACTTAGAAAAGGAGCCTGTCCAAGGGGCGTTTAACTTTCCTAACTTAATGCCCTCCAACTATGATGACTAAAACTCCCATCCTTTTTGTGTCTACACAAAGAGAAACCCCATAGAGGAAGCTTTGACACCTGCAAAGGAAAGTTTTTCTTTTTGTGAAGCAGATTTAAGGCTTGAAAGCAATACTAACCAATTGTCGAAGGCTTTCATGGCTGGAATCACTCAGTTCTTGTGGGTTTTTTCGGGCTATATGGCCATGTTCTAGAGGCATTTCTCCTGATGTTTCGCCTGCATCTATGGCAAGCATCCTCAGAGGTGAGGTCTGAGGATGGATAATCACCTCACCTCACTTCTGAGGATGCTTGCCATAGATGCAGGCGAAACGTCAGGAGAAATGCCTCTAGAACATGGCCATATAGCCCGAAAAAACCCACAAGAACTGAATACTAACCAATTCCTGCAAAGACCAGAAAAACCTTCTCACAGAAAAGAGCTCCTATCCTCAACAGCTTTCCTCAGGTCTTGCAAACTCAGGGCAGCCATGGCTTTATGAATTGAGTCCATTCACCTGAAACAGTGTCTTTCTATCTTGTCAAGGATTACAGACAGTCCCCAAGTTACAAACAAGATCATTTCTGTAGGTTCGTTCTAATGCTGAACTTTTATGTAAGTCAGACCAGGGACATTTTTAAGTGTAACTCCAGCCATAGATAGATAGATAGACATGTAGATAGAGCCTGTGGTGTCTCAGCAGATTAAACTGCTGAACTTGCTGACTAAAAGGTCGGTGGTTCAAATCTAGGGAGTGGGGTGAGCTCCCGCTGTTAGCCCCAGCTTCTGCCAACCAAGCCATTCGAAAACATGCAAATGTGAGTAGATCAATAAGTACTGCTTCGGCAGGAAGGTAACGACACTCCATACAGTCATGCCAGATACATGACCTTATTTATTATTTATTTATTTACGACATTTATATGCCACCCTTCTCACCCCAAAGGGGACTCAGAGCGACTTGCAAGGTATATATACAAGGGTCCTCACTTCTTGTTCTTAACTAGTTTGTAAGTTTGATGTTTGCAACTTGGCCTGTATTGTATTTTTCTAGAGAGTCCTCTCCTCTGATGCTGTGTCCAAAGTATGACAGTTAGATAGTTGAGTTACATAGGCTTTTAGGGACTTCGGGCCTGCTTTGTACTAGGATCCATTTATTTGTTTTTTCCGCCCTATCAAAAAAGTTGATTTTCTTCCAATTTTCTTTTACAGCCAGAGAAATGGGAAATATGAAGGCATGGGACATCCTAACTTGAGTCTTCAGTGGCACATCTTGACACTTCTTCGTGGTCGCCCTCCCAAGTTCTAGTTGCACTTTCAGTTTTGACTTTCCTCCGTAATCTTCCCTACCTCTTTCTGAATGTAGTCCTACTTCCTTCGGGCTTGCTTTGTACAAGGATCCACTTCAAATATCGGCCGCTGGGTGTTTTGGACTTTAACTCCCACAATTCCTAACAGCCTATGGCTGTTAGGAATTGTGAGAGTTGAAATGCAAAACTCTGGAGGGCCAAAGTTTGTCCATGACTGATCTACAGTGTAAAATGAATGCAGATTGGCCCCACTTTGGCTGCCCTGGCTCAAATCCTAGGAGTCGCAATTCCTTGGCCTTCTCTGCCACTGTCTCACCAAACTACAACTCCCAGCCTTCCATAGCATTGCTTACAAGGGGTTATACCCTTGGAAATAGAAATTGGGACTACAAATATCTTGCTCAAAACAGACCTTATCAAACTACAACTCCCAGGACTCCACAGCATTGCTCACAGTGGGTTATGTTCTTGGAAACAGAGATCGGGACTACAAATCTCTTGCTCATGACAGATCTTATCAAGCTACAACTCCCAGGACTCCACAGCCTTGCTCACAGCGGGTTATGTCCTTGGAAATAGAGATTGGGACTACAAATCTCTTGCTCAAGACAAACCTTGTCAAACTACAACTCCCAGGACTCCACAGCATTGCTCACAGCGGGTTATGTCCTTGGAAATAGAGATCGTGACTACAAATCTCTTGTTTAAGACAAACCTTGTCAAACTACAACTCCCAGGACTCCACAGCATTGCTCACAGCGGGTTATGTCTTTGGAAATAGAAATTGGGGCTACAAATCTCTTGTTTAAGACAAACCTTGTCAAACTACAACACCCAGGATTCCACAGCATTGCTCACAGTGGGTTATGTCCTTGGAAATAGAGATCGGGACTACAAATCTCTTGCTCAAGACAGATCTCATCAAACTACAACTCCRAGGACTCCACAGCATTGCTCATAGTGGGTTATGTCCTTGGAAATAGAGATCGGGACTACAAGTCTCTTGTTTAAGACAAACCTTGTCAAACTACAACTCCCAGGACTCCACAGCATTGCTCACGACAGGTTATGTCCTTGGAAATAGAAATTGGGACTACAAGTCTCTTGTTTAAGACAAACCTTGTCAAATTACAACTCCCAGGACTCCACAGCATTGCTCACGACGGGTTATGTCCTTGGAAATAGAGATCGGGACTACAAATCTCTTGTTTAAGACAGATCTTATCAAGCTACAACTCCCAGGACTCCACAGCATTGCTCACGGCGGGTAATGTCCTTGGAAATAGAGATCGGGACTACAAATCGCTTGTTTAAGACAAACCTTGTCAAACTACAACTCCCAGGACTCCACAGCATTGCTCACAGAGGGTTATGTCCTTGGAAATAGAGATCGGGACTACAAATCTCTTGCTCGAGACAAATCTTATCAAACTACAACTTCCAGGACGCCACAGCATTGCTCACAGCGGGTTATGTCCTTGGAAATAGAAATTGGGACTACAAGTCTCTTGTTTAAGACAAACCTTGTCAAACTACAACTCCCAGGACTCCACAGCATTGCTCACAGAGGGTTATGTCCTTGGAAATAGAGATTGGGACTACAAATCTCTTGCTCAAGACAGATCTTATCAAGCTACAACTCCCAGGACTTCACAGCATTGCTCACGACAGGTTATGTCCTTGGAAATAGAAATTGGGGCTACAAATCTCTTGTTTAAAACAAACCTTGTCAAACTACAACTCCCAGGACTCCACAGTATTGCTCACAGTGAGTTATGTCCTTGGAAATAGAGATTGGGACTACAAATCTCTTGCTCAAGACAGATCTTATCAAACTACAACTCCCGGGACTCCACAGCATTGCTCAGAGCGGGTTATGTCCTTGGAAATAGAAATCAGGATTACAAATCTCTTGTTTAAGACAAACCTTGTCAAACTACAACTCCCAGGACTCCACATCATTGCTCACGACGGGTTATGTCCTTGTAAATAGAAATTAGGGCTACAAATCTCTTGCTGAAGACAGATCTTATCAAACTACAACTCCCAAGACTCCAAGGAATTGAACCTGGCCGTTCAAGTGGTGGCACGTACCTCTCCGAGGCCTCTCCGGCCGCCGCCGCCATCCCCAATGGTCCCCAACCAAACACGAAGCCCAAACAACCAAGATTTCAGTGCTTCCCGGCTGCCATAGTTGCCTGCGCATGCGCCGTCGGTCCTGCCGAGCTCTAACTGCGCAGCCCCGGCGGAAGGGCCTCTTCCTCCCGCTGAGACCTCTCTCGTTGGTACGGTGACGCCACTTCCGGTGGCTCTTCTTCAAGGCGGAAGGGAGCGTCATTGCTCTTTGTGAGGCAAGACAGGGAGGGGGAAAGAGAAGTTACTTCACTGCAGCCGGAATATTAAGTTACTTTGAGGGAGGGCTGCCTTAGGATGGGGAATTATATTCCAAAACAGCATAAGAAAAGGCAATCCAGTTTAAGGATAGGAGATTTTGGGGAGAAAAGCAGGATACACAATGAGTAAGTTAGTAAATAATAGAATCAGAGTTGGAAGAGACCTCATGGGCCATCCAGTCCAACCCCCTGCCAAGAAGCAGGAATATTGCATTCAAATCACCCCTGACAGATGGCCATCCAGCCTCTGTTTAAAAGCTTCCAAAGAAGGAGCCTCCACCACACTCCGGGGCAGAGAGTTCCACTGCTGAACGGCTCTCACAGTCAGGAAGTTCTTCCTCATGTTCAGATGGAATCTCCTTTCTTGAAGTTTGAAGAAATAAATAACATGTCCTTGATTAAAAAGAATGCCAGGGAAAACCTGGAAATGTTACCCACAAATAAGAATCTTATTGTTGTTATATAATTATGTTTTCACTAACATTCCTAGCGAATATGCAGTGGAAGCGAAGAACAGATTTAAAGCACTAGATTTAGTAAATAGTAATAATAATAATAATAATAATAATAATCTCACCTCTGAGGATGCTTGCCATAGATGCAGGCGAAACGTCAGGAGAAATGCCTCTAGAACATGGCCATATAGCCCGAAAAGACCCACAAGAACTTAGTGATTCTGGCCATGAAAGCCTTCGACAATACATAATAATCTTTATTTGTACCCCACTACCATCTCCCCAAGGGACTCAGTGCGGCTTACATGAGGCCAAGCCAACAATACATCAATAAACAAAACTTCAAATAAAACAATCAATACAATTCATATAAATCACATAAAAATAAGCAATAAACAATCAATAGTGACACACAAGCATTTAAAAACCAATGGAAAGGCCAAATGTAATAGATTAAAATTAAAATAATGCTGAACATGACGTGAACATTTTCAGAGAGAAGTGAGGGAACACAGTCAGTCCTAACTCAGTGATAAAGTGCATTATGAGGGCATATTGCTTATAGTTTCCTTATTCTTGGAAGGCGCACTGGAACAACCACGTTTTCAGGCTCCTCCTAAAGACTGCCAGAGTTGGGGCATGTCTGATGTCCTTGGGAAGTGAGTTCCAGTCGAGGGGCCACCACCGAGAAGGCCCTCTCCCTCGTCCCCACCAGTTACGCCTGTGAAAGGTGGGAGCGCGAGCAGCGCCTCTCCAGATGATCGAAGAGATCATGTGGGTTCGTACACAGAAATGCGCTCACGCAGGTAGGTGGGTCTCAAACCGTTTAGGGCTTTGTAGTTAAGAACCTGCACCTTGAATTGGGACCGGAAAATGAACGGCAGTCAGTGGAGCTCCTTAAACAGGAGGGTTGACCGCTCTCTGTAAGAAGCACCAGTTAGTAACCTCGCTGCCACCCATTGTACCAATTGAAATTTCTGGGCCGTTTTCAAGGGCAGCCCCACATAGAGTGCATTACAGTAATTCAATCTGGAGGTGACTAAGGATAAGAATAGAGTCCCAGAAGAACTATGGACAGAAGTCCACAACATTGTTCAGGAGGTGGCAACAAAGCACGTCCCAAAGAAAAAGAAAACCAAGAAGGCGAAATGGTTGTCTGCTGAGATGCTGGAAGTAGCCCAAGAAAGGAGGAAAGCAAAAGGAAACTGTGATAGGAGGAGATATGCCCAGTTAAATGCACAATTCCAGAGGTTAGCCAGAAGACACAAGGAACTATTTTTAAACAAGCAATGCATGGAAGTGGAAGAAGACAACAGAATAGGAAGGACAAGAGATCTCTTCCAGAAAATTAGAAACATTGGAGGTAAATTTCAGGCAAAAATTGGCATGGTAAGAAACAAAGATGGCAGGGACCTAGCAGAACCTGAAGAGATCAAGAGAAGGTGGTGAGACTATACAGAAGAACTGTATAGGAAGGATAATAATATCGAGGATAGTTTTGACTGAATTAGAACCAGACATCCTGAGGAGTGAGGTTGAATGGGCCTTAAGAAGCAGTGCTAACAACAAGGCAGCAGGAGACGACGGGATCCTAGCTGAACTGTTTAAAATCTTGAAAGATGATGCTGTCAAGGTGATGCATGTCATATGCCAGCAAATATGGAAAACAAGAATGGCCATCAGACTGGAAAAAAATCAACTTATATCCCCATACCAAAAAAGGGAAATGCTAAAGACTGCGCAAACTTCTGTACAGTGGCCCTTATTTCTCATGCCAGTAAGGTAATGCTCAAGATCCTGCAAGGAAGACTCCAGCAAAACATGGAGCGAGAGTTGCCAGATGTACAAGCTGGTTTAGAAAAGGCAGAGGAACAAGAGGCCAAATTGCCAATATCCACTGGATAATGGAGAAAGGGAGTTTCTGAAAAAGATCTATTTCTCTTTCATTGACTATTCCAAAGTCTTTGACTGTATGGATCATAATAAATTGTGGCGAGTTCTTGGTGGTCTGTGGATCCCAAACCTCCTTGTCTGTCTCCTGAGGAATCTGTGTAAAGACCAAATAGCAACAGTAAGAACAGACTACGGAACAACCGACTGGTTCAAGATTGGGAGAGGAGTACGGCAGGCCTGTCTACTCTCACCCGACCTATTCAACTTGTATGCAGAACACATCATGCGGTGTGCGGGGCTTGACAAATTAAAGGCTGGAGTTAAAATTGCTGGAAGAAACATCAACAACCTTAGATATGCATATGATCCCACTTTGATTGATGGCCGAAAGCGAGGAGCTGAGAAGCCTTCCCATCAGGGTGAAAGAAGAAAGTGCAAAAGCTGGATTGCAATTAAACATTTAAAAAACCAAGATTCTGGCAACCAGACTGATTGATAACTGGCAAATAGAGAGCGAAAACATGGAGGCAGTGACAGACTTTGTATTTCTAGGTGCAAAGTTACTGCAGACACAGACTCCAGCCAGGAAATCAGAAGACCTTTCTTCTTGGGAGGAGAGCAAAGGACCAATCTTGATAAAATAGTGAAGAGTAGAGACTTCACACTGGCAATGAAGATCCACATAGTTAAAGCAATGGTATTCCCTGTAGTAACCAATGGTTGTGAGAGCTGGACCATAAGGAAGGCTGAGCAAAGGAAGATATACACTTTTGAAAATGGTGTTGGAGGAAAATCCTGAGAGTGCCTTGGACCACAAGAAGATCCAACCAGTCCATACTTCAGGGAATAAATCCAACTGCTCACTGAAGGGAAGGATATTAGAGACAAGATGAAGTACTTTGGTCACACAATGAGAAAACAGGAAAGCTTGGAGAAGAGCATGATTCTGGAGGAAATGGAACGAAAAGGGAAGAGGGGCAGACCAAGGGCAAGGTAGATGGATGATTGGCTTGACTTTGAAGGAACTGGGGATGGCCATGGCTGCAGGGAGCTCAGGCATGGGGTGGTCCAGGAGGTCATGAAGAGTTGGAAGCAACTGAATGAATAAACAACTGTTGTTGTTGTTGTTGTTGTTGTTGTGTATTGTATTTTGAAGGTTATTGGTTAATGGAGGACTTCTAGTGAAGTAGTCTTTGAGAGTTTTAGTTAAGTTAGGCAGAGACGGATTTTGGGCAGATAGTGAAGGAAGTTTATGGAAGTTTAAGAGTGGTTACTACAGGAAGGTTTTTGGAAGTCATAGGAAAATGAGTTTGTGGAAACTCATAGGAAAAGTGATCTTTCTCACCTATGTGACCTCATGGGGAAGTTCCATCTTGTTGATCAACAACTCAAACCCTTCCAGTATTTTCTGTTGGTCATGAGAGTTCAGTGTGCCAAGTTTGGTTCAATTCCATTGTTGATGGAGTTCAGAATGCTCTTTGATTGTAGGTGAACTATAAATCCCAGCAACTACAACTCCCAAATGACAAAATCAACCCCCCCCACCCCACCAGTAGTCAAATTTGGGCGTATCAGGTATTTGTGCTCAATTTGGTCCAGTGAATGAAATTACATCCTGCATATCAGATATTTACATTACGATTCAAAACAGTAGCAAAATGGAGGTCAGAATGCTCTTTGATTGTAGGTGAACTATAAATCCCAGCAACTACAACTCCCAAATGACAAAATCAATCCCCCCCCAACCCCACCAGTATTCAAATTTGGGCGTATCAGGTATTTGTGCCAAATTTGGTCCAGTGAATGAAAATACATCCTGCATATCAGATATTTACATTACGATTCAAAACAGTAGCAAAATGGAGGTCAGAATGCTCTTTGATTGTAGGTGAACTATAAATCCCAGCAACTACAACTCCCAAATGACAAAATCATAATTTGTTGAGTGATGGTCACTCCTTGTGTTGTGAGACGTTTTGTTGCCAAATTTGGTGTGATTTCGTTCATTGGTTCTTTTGTTTTTAAGGTACTCATTATGCACAGAGCATGCAAATAGCTGTCCCCTGCCACGCGTTGCTGTGGCCCAGTCTGGTGATCTGGAAAATAAAGTAATGAGAAAGTGTTGGTTTCTAATATATGTAATTTCTTTATGCTTGTGGGTAAACAGTATTTCTTGCTGTTTCTTTGTCAGTGTTGATGTGGAGATTGTCTGGTTTGCCTACTCTGAAACATGCAACATATCATTGTCCTTCTTTAGGGGTCCCTTTCAAATCTTTGATACTGCATCTGCCATATACATATATGTGTGTGTGTGGATGGATGGATGGCCCTTTGTCAGGTGAAGGGAGTTGGACTGGATGGCCTTAAGGCAGCATTTCTCAACCTGGGGTTTGGGACCCCTGGGGGTGTTGCAAGGGGATGTCAGAAGGATTGCCAGAGACCACCAGAAAACACAGTATTTTCTGTTGGTCATGAGGATTCTGTGTGGGAAGTTTGCCCCAATTCTGTCATTGGTGGGGTTCAGAATGCTCCTTGATTGTAGGGGAACTATAAATCCCGGTAACTACAACTCCCAAATGTCAAGGTCTATTTCCCCCAAGCTCCATCTGTGTTTATAATTGGCCATATCGAGTATTCGTGCCAAGTTTGGTCCATATCCATTGTTGTTTGAGTCCACAGTGCTCTCTAGATGGAGGTGAACTACAACTCCAAAACTCTAGGTGTGTGTTTGTGCATATATATACACATGTGTGTGTATGAATGTGTGCATGTGTATATGAGCGTATGTGTATATATTGTGTATTTTTGCGGTTTTTAAGTCTGTTCTGCTGGGGTTGTGTGTGTGTGTGTGTGTGTTTAGGGGTGATGGACATTCATTGGACTGTTAGGTGTCTTGTGTCCAAATTTGATGTCAATTCGTTCAGTGGTTTTTGAGTTCTGTTAATCCCACAAACGAACATTGCATTTTTTATTTATGTACATAATAGATAATAATAATAATATAATTTAGAGTAGTATATTATATTAAGAATAATATTATTATTAATGAATGGCTGCCATTTATGTTGTAAGCCGCCTCAAGTCTCCAAGAGGAGATGGCAAGCGGTTATAATTCAAGTTGACTTGTGTAAGTAATGCTATCCCTCTATTCTGCTTTGGTTAGACCACACCTGGAATATTGTGTCCAATTCTGGGCACCACAATTCAAGAGAGATATTGACAAGCTGGAATGTGTCCAGAGGAGAGCGACTAAAATGATAAAAGGTGTGGAGAACAAGCCCTATGAGGAGCGGCTTAAGGAGCTGGGCATGTTTAGCCTGAAGAAGAGAAGGCTGAGAGGGGATATGATAGCCATGTATAAATATGTGAGAGGAAGCCACAGGGAGGAGGGAGCAAGCTTGTTTTCTGCTTCCCTGGAGACTAGGACGCGGAAGAATGGCTTCAAACTACAAGAAAGGACTAACAGGCTTCGGCCTACTCACTCTCCTCAGGACTACACTAGCTTTAGCCCACTGACTCTAACAGGCTTCGGCCTACTCACACTCAAGGGTCTGGAGAACAAGCTTCATGAGGAACGGCTTAAGGAGCTGGGCATGTTTAGCCTGAAGAAGAGAAGGCTGAGAGGAGACATGATAGCCATGTATAAATATGTGAGAGGAAGTCACAGGGAGGAGGGAGCAAGCTTGTTTTCTGCTTCCCTGGAGACTAGGACGCGGAACAATGGCTTCAAACTACAAGACAGGAGATTCCATCTGAACACAAGGAAGAACTTCCTGACTGTGAGAGCTGTTCAGCAGTGGAACTCTCTGCCCCGGAGTGTGGTGGAGGCTCCTTCTTTGGAAGCTTTTAAACAGAGGCTGGATGGCCATCTGTCAGGGGTGATTTGAATGCAATATTCCTGCTTCTTGGCAGGGGGTTGGACTGGATGGCCCATGAGGTCTCTTCCAACTCTTTGATTCTATGATTCGCCTAGAAGAAGAGAATTAAAAAAGGCCTCTGCCTCTTTAAGCGCCTGATCATGACGTCACTTCATCCCCTTCCCCTCCCTCTTCGGCGTGTACTCTCTACCAAGATTGGTGCGGAAGTCCCGCCCCAGCTTGGCAGGACTAGCCAATGGCGGGGCAGCTCTCAAACAGGGCTGTGTTTCCTTGGTGGCGGCCGCTGTCTGTGAGGCGGCAGAGTGCAGCCCCGCCCTCTTTTTTCTGGAGACGTGAGGGAGGTTAGGTTGCGCCGCGTCGGGTGGTGCCGTGGTGGTTGTTGCCGGGCGGAGCCGCCGCCTCTGACTGAAAACTCCTCGCCCTCGGCTCGGCCAGGCTCCGCGGCCCGGCCATGGAGTCCTACGATATCATCGCCAACCAGCCTGTGGTCATCGACAACGTAAGCTATTCCTTCCTTCGAAGGCGGAGGAGGAGGAGGAGAGGGGCTTCTCGTTCAGGGCCCGCCTAGGCCTCAGGCCTCCGGGAACGCCTGAGTCAGGGAGCGAGGACGGACCAGGCCGCAGTTCCGTGCACAGCCCCCCCCCCCCCCCAGCCATAATACTAGCAATAGTATCAAGAATAATTATGCTTCCAGTACTTTGCTGCTGCAGTTATGTTTGTATCGTATTTCCAGGAAAAAGGCCGCCTCTCCATCATAGTAATAATAATGCAATTCATTATTGTTTGCAGCACTAATGCATTGTGTTTACATGTCCCCTCAATAATAGTAGTAATAATAATAATAATGATAATATATTTATTTATCTTTCCTAATACGTGTCTGCTGCATTTCTTTATATCTGCATTGTGTTTACATGTACAGGGCATCCCTTCAATAATAGTAATACCACTAATAATAATAATAATAATAATAATAATAATAATAATGCAATTAATTATGCGTTGCAGTACTAATGCATTGTGTTTACATGTCCCCCCTCAATAATAATAGTAGTAGTAATAATGATAATATATTTATTTATCTTTCCTAATACATGACTGCTGTATTTCTTTATACCTGCATTATGTTTACAGGTGTAGGGCATCCCTTCAATAATAGTAATACCACTACTCCTACTACTAATAATAATAATATAATTAATTATGCTTCCTAATACATGACTGCTGTATATCTTTATACCTGCATTATGTTTACAGGTGCAGGGCATCCCTTCAATAATAGTAATACCACTACTCCTACTACTACTAATAATAATATAATTAATTATGCTTCCTAATACATGACTGCTGTATTTCTTTATATCTGCATTGTGTTTACACGTGCAGGGCATCCCTTCAATAATAGTAATACCACTACTCTTACTACTACTAATAATAATAATGTAATTAATTATGCTTCCTAATCATAGAATCAAATCATAGAATCAAAGAGTTGGAAGAGACCTCATGGGCTATCCAGTCCAACCCCATTCTGCCAAGAAGCAGGAATATTGCATTCAAAGCACCCCTGACAGATGGCCATCCAGACTCTGTTTAAAAGCTTCCAAAGAAGGAGCCTCCACCACACTCCGGGGCAGAGAGTTCCACTGCTGAACGGCTCTCACAGTCAGGAAGTTCGTCCTCGTGTTCAGATGGAATCTCCTCTCTTGTAGTTTGAAGGCATTGTTCCATTGCATCCTAGTCTCCAGGGAAGCAGAAAACAAGCTTGCTCCCTCCTCCCTGTGGCTTCCTCTAACATATTTATACAAAGCTATCATGTCTCCTCTCAGCTTTCTCTTCTTCAGGCTAAACATGCCCAGCTCCTTAAGCCGCTCCTCATAGAGCTTGTTCTCCAGACCCTTGATAATTTTAGTCACCCTCCTCTGGACACATTCCAGCTTGTCAATATCTCTCTTGAATTGTGGTGCCCAGAATTGGACACAATATTCCAGATGTGGTCTAACCAAAGCGGAATAAAGAGGTAGCATTACTTCCCTAGATCTAGACACTATGCTCCTATAATACATGACTGCTGTATTTCTTTATATCTGCATTGTGTTTACATGTGCAGGGCATCCCTTCAATAATAGTAATACCACTATTCCTACTCCTAATAATAATAATAATAATATAATTAATTATGGTTCCTAATACATGACTGCTGTATATCTTTATACCTGCATTGTGTTTACATGTACAGGGCATCCCTTCAATAATAGTAATACCACTACTCCTATTACTACTACTAATAATAATATAATTAATTATGCTTCCTAATACATGACTGTTGTATTCCTTTATACCTGCATTGTGTTTACATGTGCAGGGTGTCCCCTCAATAATAGTAATACCACTACTCCTATTACTACTACTACTAATAATAATAATATAATTAATTATGCTTCCTAATACATGATTGCTGTATTTCTTTATATCTGCATTGTGTTTACATGTGCAGGGTGTCCCCTCAATAATAGTAACAATCATAATAGGAATGTAGTACAACAATTTAAAAAACCATGCTTCATAATACTTATCTGATGTATATATTTATACCTGCCTTTTTGCTACATGTATAGGGCATCCCCTCAATAATAGTAATGCTACTACTACTAATAATAATATAATTAATAATGCTTTGTGATACTTGTTATATTTATTTATTTATATCTGCATTGTGTTTACATACACAGGGCATCCCCTCAATACTAGTAATACTATTACTATTAATAATAATATAATTAATTATGCTTTCTAATACTTAGTTGTGTATTTCTTTATACCTGCACTGTGTTTACATGTACAGGGTGTCCCCTCAATAATTGTAATACTACTAATAATAATATAATTATGCTTTCTGCTATATTTCTTTATACCTACATTGTGTTTTCATGTACAGGGTGTCTCCTCAATAATAGTAATACTACTACTACTACTAATAATAATAATAATAATATAATTAACTTTGCTTCCTAATACTTAGTTGTTCTATTTATGTATATCTGCATTGTTTTTACATATACAGGGTGTCCCCTCAATAATATTAATACTACTAATAAAAATAATATAATTAATTAGCTACTGTATTTATGTTGTAAGCCGTATTTGCCGTAAGTTCAGAACCCTGAATGGTTGTGGAGCAGCTTATGTGTCTAAACATACCTCCTTCTATGAACCATCACGAAGTCTAAGATTGACAGGAGTCCCTGCTCTCGATCTCACCATCTTTGCAAACGTGACTGGTGGAGACGAGAGCCAGGGCCTTCTCAGTGGTAGCCACTCGCCTGTGGAACTCGCTACCCAGTGGCATTAGATCCTCCCTCTTGTCCTTTAGAATGAAACCTGGCTATGGGACCAATTTGTGTGAATCTCAAATCTGTGTGATTTAAACAATGTTTTAGTAATTTTATGTTTTAATTGCTTTTATCATTTATTACTGTTGTTGGCATTGAATGAATGCCTGTTGTGAAGCTGCCTTGAGTATTCCTCCAGGGGTGGGAAGGACGGGATACAAATAGGCAAAATAAATAAATAAATATTTCTTTATATCTGCATTGTGTTTACATGTACAGGGTATCCCCTCAATAATAGTAATAATCATAATAGTGATGTAGTACAATAATTTAATTAATTATGCTTCATAATACATAGCTTATTTACATATTTCTATCTGCCTTTTTGCTACATGCACCGAGTGTCCCCTTAATAACAATAATTTATGTATTCCCCTCAGTAATTATACATTTAGTAATAATAATGATATGCTATCATTATGGCTTGTAATATATAGTATAGTATTGGGATGCCTTGTAAACATAACTGCTGTAAATATCAATGTATGTAATGTATTATTATTAGGCATCCCAATAATAATAATAATAATAATAATAATAATATAAAAGGTAGCTATATCTTTTAATACACAGGCGCTGTATACATTATATATGCATTTTTGGTTACATGTACAGTGCATCCCCAAGTTAGTAATAGTAGAAGTAGTAATATAATCAACTATACCTTGAATGCATACTTATTGTATATATTTACATATGCAGTTTTGTTTACATGTACAGTGCATCTTTAATATAGTAATAGTATAAATAATAACTATTATTATTTTATAATAACAGTTATTATTTCAATTATTGTTACTGCTATGAAATTACTATATTATGGTAATAAAATTATAATATTATTATTATTATTATTATTATTATTATTATTATTATTGCATTGCTTTCCTCTCCCAGGCTTGGAAATTGGAGACTCTTTTAAAAAGATAATTAGATATACCACTATGAAACAGAGCTACTCTATGTATTATAGATGCATTTTTGTTTACATAGATCTTATTAATACTATGTGGCTCTAGATATTATTTAAGGTTGTATTGTGTTGTGTTTAGGAATGTGTGAGTTTTGGCCCTCTATTTCTGCAATTTTCTGCTGTAGCAACAGTGCGGCTGAAGACCCTCTGAAACTATGTAGATTGATTTCTGGAGTTTATGTATGTATACATGCCCACTTTTCCTTGCTTGCCCCGTAAGAGTTTGTACATCCATTTTTAGAAGGCTGGGTACGCATTGTATGTGCTCTAGTTCCAACGCAGAGGTTGAAAAGAACAGAGATTAAACTGACAAATCTTGTCAACTTCTGGCAGGTAGAGGATAATTCCCCTTCAAAATGATTTTTAAAAGGGTCTTGTAACACCTTGTGAAATGTATATTCCACTACAAAAGATTTTGGGTGAGTTGCTATAAAGATGCACAGTAAAAACTAATTTGAGTAGAACTAGACTAAGGAGGATCCATGATAACCCTTGCTTGTACAGGAATAATTAGGATTTACATAGCACCCCTTTCCTACTGCCGCAGCCTACTTAATTGCTGGCCCAGCTCTGTTCCCTCTCAGCCTTTTTGAATTAAGAGTTACTTAACATTTAAAGTGATTTATGTGGATGGTCTCAGTAATGCTTAGATGAACACCAGAGGACAAATGAGTATCATAAACACCATTGTGGAGATGAAAAGGGGAAGGGTTGAAATGTAATTATGTTGTGGTAATTGACAACTGGTAATTGACAACTGGAACGGAATACGGATTACGATATTGGTTATGATTCTATGATGTGACGGAGCGGATTATTTAGTGTAACTAGATTATAGTGTATTATTGTTGTATTGATTTCCTGTTTTGCCCTTTTGTAAACTGTTTTTATATGTTGTGCACCGCCGCGAGTCGCCCTAGGGCTGAGAGCGGCGGTCAATAAATGCAGTAAATAAATAAATAAATAATGTGATCCTGAACACATTTACTATGGAGTAGATTTACTATGGAGCAGTTTGAAAACATGCAAATGTGAGTAGATCAATAGGTACCGCTACAGCGGGAAGGTAACAGCATGCCATGCAGTCATGCCGGCCACATGACCTTGGAGGTGTCTGTGGACTACACCGGCTCTTCGGCTTAGAAATGGAGATGAGCACCACACCCCAGAGTCAGACATGACTGGACTTAATGTCAGGGGACAACCTTTACCTTTATCTAGATCTGATTAGGAGCTGGATCCAAGTAAGCATGAAAGATTTTACTCTTTGTAAATTCATAACAGGGATAAGATCTGATCTGGGGGATTAGTCATATTAGGGTCAGTCTCTTTTACCTCGTTTTCCTGGGAGCAAGACCCACTGAATTCAGTTTAACTCATGAATTGTGTGTATCAAAAGTGATACTCCAGTGTTTAACATTTACACAAATAATCAGCCACTACCAGAAGGCACAGAGAGTTTTATCTATGCTGACAATCGTGCCATCACCGTTCAAGCAGCAAGCTTTCAGATGGTTGAACAGAAGCTCTCAAAAGCTATAGGTGCCTTTTACAGGGAAACCAGCTGATTCCTAATCCATCTAAAATGCAGACGTGTGCTTTTCATCTTAAGAACAGAGAAGATCTTAGATCTCTGAGGATCTCTGAGGATTCCTGGAAAGGAATCCCACTGGAGCATTGCAGCACACCAAAATACCTGGGAGTCACTCTGGACCATGCCCTGACCTACAAGAAGCACTGCCTGAATATCAAGCAAAAAGTGGGTGCTAGAAATAACATTATATGAAAGCTCACTGGGACAACGTAGGGATCACAACAAGACACAGTGAAGACATCTACCCTTGCACTTTGCTACTTTGCTGAATACGCATGCCCAGTGTGGACTACATCTCACCAAGTTAAAACAGTAGATGTGGTTCTTAATGGGACATGCCACATTATCACTGGATGTCTACGTCCCACACCACTGGAGAAATTACATTGTATCACACCACCTGACATCCACCAGGAAGTAGCAGCCAGCAAGGAAAGGACCAAGGCATTGATATCTCTGGCCCATCCTCTGTTTGGATATCAGCAAGCATGCCAACGCCTTAAATCAAGAAACAGTTTCCTAAGATCTATAGAGATACTTGCATGAACACCCCAGCAAGTGAGACTCCAAAAGTGGCAGGCTGAAACCCAGCACTTCAATCAGTGACTGGGTCCAGATGAGAAACTCCCTACTGGGCATATAGAAGAGTGGGTGACCTGGAAGGTGCTGAACAGGCTGTGCTCTGGCACCACGAGATGCGAGCTAACCTTAAGAAATGGGGCTACAAAGTGGAGTCCACGACATGTGAGTGCGGAGAAGAGCAAACCACAGACCACCTGCTACAATGCAGCCGGAGCCCTGCCACATGCACAATGGAGGACCGTCTCACAGCGACACCAGAAAAAAATTGGCTAAAGATTATTTACATAAGTTCAAGGTGTTTTAGCATAGCCAAAGACTGTATAAATCTCAATAGAGGCCGTAGTGAATAAATCAGAAGACAACTAGAAGTTGAAAGGGCAACTATGAAGAACCTAGACAAGATCCTGCCATTTCAAGATATAGGAATTCTGGAATCAGGATCATCCATGCAATGGCATTTCCAGTTTTTGTGTATTTTATGACAGCTGGATAGCTGAAAAAAGCTGACAGGAAGTAATTTGACTTATTTGAAATATGATGTGGGAGGAAAGTTACCCCATGGCCTGGCAAGAGAGCCAATAAATGGGACTGAGAGCCAGCATGGTGTGGTGGTTTGAATGTTGGACTATGACTGGAGACCAGGGTTTGAACTCTTAACTCCATTGTGGAGATCTTGGGCAAGTCCCACACTCTCAGCTTCAGAGGAAATCCTGTGAGATCTGCTTTAGGATCTCCTTCAGTTGGAAACAACTTAAAGCCGCACAACAAAGCAAAAGCCAAGTACAGAAAAAAAAAATACAGAAGAAAGATATTGTTCTTGCATTGGCTTTTGAGAAATATTGAGTGGGATTATAAATTTCTCATACTAATTTCTGAGGATTACTGCAGACACAGACTGCAAACCTGAAGATTTTTGCTTTTAGGGAGGAGAGCAATGATCAATCTCGATAAAATAGTGAAGAATAGACGTCACAGTGCAATGAAGGTCCGCATAGTTAAAGCAATGATATTTCCCGTAGTAACCAATGGTTGTGAGAGCTGGACCATAAGGAAGGCTGAGCGAAGGAAGATAGATGCTTTTGAACTGTGGTGCTGGTGCCTTGGACCACAAGAAGATCCAACTAGTCCATCCTCCAGGAAATATTGCCCGACTGCTCACTAGAGGGAAGGGTATTAGAGGCAAAGATGAAGTACTTTGGCCACCTAATGAAAAGGCAGAAAAGCTTGGAGAAGAGGATGATGCAGGGGAAAATGGAAGGAAAAAGGAAGAGGTGCAGACCAAGGGCAAGGTGGGTGGATGTCATCCTTGAAAGGACTGGCTTGACCTGGAAGGAGCTGTGGGTGGCCACGGCCAACAGGGAGCTCTGGCTTGGGCTAGTCCATGAAGAGTATGAAGTGACTGAACGAGTAAACAGCAACAACAATTTCTGGGTTTTAAAAACTATATTTATTATATCTATGTTGTTGTTGTTCATTTGTTCAGTAATTTCTGACTCTTTGTGACCACTCACATCCATAGGTAACTATGGGGAATACAATTGCTTTAATTATGTGGATCTTCATTGCCAGTGTGATGTCTCTACTCTTCACTATTATGTCTATATTATATCTATATTATAAGCTATATTTAAAGCAGACCAGCCTTTTTAACTGTTCATGGAAGTCCAGGCAGCCAAGAGGCACATGGCCTTTCAGACATATTCACAGCAGGGTTATTCTCTGCCGAGGAGCTCTTAGTTGCCTTTCCCTCTCTTTCCAAAGAGAGATGCCTGATCTTGGGATCCCCATCAATGAGGAATCACTGCTCCTTTCACGAGGTCAGGGTTGGGAAGCTGCCCATTTTCTTCTGCAACAGCAGGGAATGTTTGTCCCAGCTTGAAGAGCCAGAAGAAGTGGGATCTTGTGACTGAGCAAAAGGGATTCTGTTCTTGACTTGGCTTGACAGGCTGTTGTTTCTTTCCACTCGCTCCTCTTTCCCACCTATGTTCATGTGATATAATCACAAGTTTGATATGTTACGCAGAGTTACATGAAGAGTTGGACTAGCAGTCACTTTTTTTGGACTGTAACTTCTAGAATTCCCCAGTGGTCACGAATTCTATACTTCTGCTCCTTTCATACTTTGAAAATTAAAAGAATGTTTCCCTATAATTTGCAGAGCTTTGGTTTGTAAAAGTGGCAGTGGTCATATATCTTCTAAAGCAGAAGGAAATTCTTAGTGCAAATTTTTAAGCAATGCCCAAAATCCATTAAATGTTTTACTACTGGTTAATAATAATAATAATAATAATAATAATAATAATAATAATAATAATACACTTTATTTATAATCCGCTACCATCTCCCCAAGGGGACTCAGTGCAGCTAACATGAGGCCAAGCCCAAAATAATACAACATAATAAACACACAGTAACAAAATACATCATAACAAAATATAAAATATATCCTCCATGTCTCTTGTCTCTCTTAGTTGTTTCTTTCTTCATTTAGGGTTCAGGAGTGGTCAAGGCTGGCTTTGCTGGAGATCAGATCCCAAAATACTGTTTTCCCAACTAGTAAGTATCAGTGCAAAATTCATTACTAGCCTTCTCAGTTTTTAGCTGTAGAGAATTTTAGGGCAATGTTTCATTCTTTCTCTCATGCTTTTCAATATCTACATGAAACTGTTCGGCAAGGTCATCCGGAGATTTGGAGTTGGGTGCCATCTCTATGCAGATGACATGCAACTCTACTATTTTCCACCTCAATCCATGGGAGCTCCCCAGATTTTCTCCAGTGTCTGGCAACTGTGAGGGACTGGATGAGGGCCAACAAACTGAAGCTTAATCCACTCCCCCTGAGGACACAGGTCCACAGGCTGGGAATCCTCCTGGATGCATTGCTGATTCTTGATGCTCAAGTATTGGCGAAGGCTGTACCTCGAAAAGCCTGACTTGGCCATGGTGGTCCATGTCTTGGTTACATCCAGAATGGACTACTATAATGCAATCTACTTGGGGCTGCTTTTGAAGACAGTTTGGCGGGGACGAGAGACAGGGCCTTCTCAGTAGTGGCCCCTCGGCTATGGAACATCCTCCCTAGGGAGATCGGATCTGCTCCCTCCCTCTTGATGTTTTGGAGGCAAGTTAAAACGTGGCTGTTCGAGCAAGCGTTTACAAATACAAAGTAGCTAATATAGGAAATCAAATGACCTGACAATGGAATTGGACAATGCTTGAGAATAATGAGATGCTGATGATGTTGTTTTTATTGCTTGTGATGTCTTATATTGTTTAATGTTTTTTTATCTATATTATGTTTTATGTATACTGATTTGTTGGAAACCGCCTTGAGTCACCAATTGGCTGAGAAAGACGGTATACAAATACAGTAAATGAATAAATAAATAATTGCAGTTATTGCAAAGGTTGGATGCCAGACTACTTACTGGAGCTAGCTATGGGGAACATACTATGCCCCTATTAAAGCAGCTTCATTGGCTTCCGACAATTTTCGAGGCTCAATTCAAGGTGCAGGTTATTACTTACAAAGACCTATACGTTTTGGGTCCAAAATATCTTTGATACCCCATCTCTTTTTATGAACTAGCGTGGGCTTTGAGATCAGCAGGGGAGGCCCTTTTCTCAGTCCCATCACTGTCTCAAGTACGATTGGTGGGAATGAGAGAGAGGACCTTTTCTGTGGTGGTTCCCCAGCTCTGGAGTACCCTCCCAAGAGAGATCATGTTAGCCCCCACCCTTGAATCCTTCCGTTCTAGCCTAAAAACAAGAAGGCCTTGGGCCTCGAGTAGACTGAAATGGGCCCATATGATGTTTGGCATTTTAGTTGTGTATTTATGGCAGCTAGTTTTAACCATTGATGGTGTTTTTAAATTGTATATTTTACCTTATTTTATGCGTTGATAGTGGGTGTTTCTAACTTTTATGTGATACTGTTTTATACTTGTGTACTGTTGATGTTTATACTCCACTTGCAGTGCCTCGGTAGTGTCCCTGGATCCCTTTTTGGGAGATGGAGGCAGGATACAAATAAAGTGATTTTAAAATATTATTATTATTATTATTATTATTATTATTATTATTCTTTTGCTTTTGCTTTATTTCTAGTGTGGGCCGTCCAAAGCATGTGCGGGTTATGGCTGGTGCACTCGAAGGCGATCTTTTCATTGGACCTAAAGCAGAGGTATCATCTAACTGCCATATTCTGAGAGAGCTCATCAGCTTTTCTTAACTGTATTTTCTCAGCATGTGACCCAGGCTTCTGGGGGGCATTCATCAACTAGCTAATTCATCCCCCATCTGTATAAATAAAATGTAATGTTAGTTTGTGGGATTCACAGGACTCAAAAACTATTGGACGAATTGACACCAAATTTGGACACAATACCCCTATCGGGCCAACAAATGACCAAAACACTGAAAAACACAGCAGAAGAGACTTAAAAAGCAAAACAAAACAAAACATTACAACGCATGTGCAAAACCGCATATATAAATGCAAACACACACATATATATACACATATACACAAATGTATACACACACATAAGCACACATATATACACACACAAAACATATATGTACACATACTGGGCCATAGCAATGCGTGGCAGGGGACGGCTAGTATTAGATGATTTCCATCTTCATTCTCAAGCCTTATTCAAGTGGGAAGAGGAACCTGCAGACCAGAACTGACCCACAAAGAAGAGACATTTGAGGGGTGGAGCTGTAGTGCTTCTGCTGAGCTGTGTTCTCATTGCCCAGTTGACAAATACATTGCTAAATAGTAATATCAGGCCCCGTCCATTAAGGAAGCGTGCTTCCTGTTCCCTGCTGAAAATATAGTACATCTTTTGGTTGGTTGCATCTTTGTGATGGCACATTAGCCTCTTGGTGAGAAATCCCTGGCATCTTTTTAAAGACTTTGTTCAATGTTCACAGATGTCCAGTGTATACAGGTTCACCTTCTTTAGATCAGTGGTACTTAACCATCCTAATTCTGCGACCCCTTAATTCAGTTCCTCATGATGTGGTGACCCCCAACCATAAAGTTATTTTTGTTGCTACTTCATAACTGTAATTTTGTTGCTCTTATGAATCATTATGTAAATATCTGATATGAGGGATGTATTTTCATTCACTGCCCAAAATTTGGCACAAATACCCAATATTCTCAAATTTGAATACTGGTGGGTTTGTGGGGGATTGATTTTGTCATTTGGGAGTTGTAGTTGCTGAGATTTACAGTTCACGTACAATCAAAGAGCATTCTGAATTCCACCAACGATGGAATTGAACCAATCTTGACACTCAGAACTCCCATGACCAACAGAAAATAATGGAAGGGTTTGGTGGGCATTGACCTTGAGTTTTGGAGTTGTAGTTCACTACATCCATTGAGCACTGTAGACTCAAACAATGATGGATCTGGACCAAACTTGGCACAAATACTCAATATGCCCCGATGGGAACACTGGTGGAGTTTAGAGAAAATACACTTTGGTATTTGGGAGTTGTCGTTGCTGGGATTTATACTTCACCTACAGTCAAAGAGCCCCTTGAAAACCACCAATGATAGAATTGGGCCAAACTTCCCACACAGAACCCCCATGACCATCAGAAAATACTGGAAGGATTTGGGGGGCATTGACCCATGATTTTGGGAGTTGTAGTTCACCCACATCCTTATGCATTTTCTAATAAGAGCATTAAACAAAAGAAAATACTGAGTTTTTTTTTCTAATAAATAGCATTACGAATTACCTAAGCTGCTTCTGCTACTGCTCCTCCTCCTAATGCTGCTGGGCCACTCTCAGTCCCACATTGCAATGGTGCTTTCCTCCTTGCCTTGAAGAGACTCGCTGACATGAGCCTCTCTCCATCCTCACACGCTCTCCCTCACCCATGCATGCTCATCACACTGCCATGTGTCAAGCATGCCTGCTCTCCCTTCCCTGTGCTGGAATCAGCCCTCCCCTTGGCTGAGAGGCCGTCCAGTCACAGCGGAGGAGGGCTTTTTGGTGGGAGGATTTGCTGCCTGCTTCCAAAAAGGAAGAGAAGGACAGGCGGAGAGATCTTCAGCCTTCTCTCCCAAAGAGTTCCTAAGACCATCAGAAATATGTGTTTTCTGATGGTCTTTGGTGACCCCTCTGAAACTCCCCTCATGACCCCCCCCCCCAGGGGTCCCAACCCCCTGGTTGAAAAACACTGTTTTAGAATATTTCGATTTGTGTGCTGACACCATCGCAATAATTTCCTGTCGCCCGATATAGGAACACAGAGGGTTGTTATCCATCCGGTACCCCATGGAACATGGCATCGTTCGAGACTGGAACGACATGGAGAGGATCTGGCAGTATGTTTACTCCAAAGATCAGCTGCAGACGTTCTCAGAAGAGGTAATAGCTGGGAGAGCGCTGCTTTTTATCCTCCTTCAAACATTTAACAAAGGCTATGATTTCTGACAACCTGAAACTGTCTTAATAGCTTCAGGTAGACAAAGCTTAGCTACAATTTTGGTAAGGTGGCTTGGGTCCTGAGTGAGAGGATATCTAAGAAATGTTGTTTTCTAACCAAGGGAGGGGCATGGAAGATCTGAAAGAAAGGCAGTTCCTTCAAAGCTTTTTCATTCCATAGAGTAGCATTTTGGGGGAAGGGGGGAGCAGTTTGGCAAAGCCCAAAGTAGGGCAAAGAGAAAGATGTGCCTGTGATGCCTTGAACTTCCAACCATTTCCATACTTGATAATGGGCTTCTTTCTTTCTTCTCAGCATCCCGTTCTCCTGACAGAAGCCCCTCTAAATCCCAGCAAAAACAGGGAGAAGGCTGCTGAGGTGTTCTTTGAGACCTTCAATGTTCCTGCTCTCTTCATTTCCATGCAAGCCGTCCTCAGCCTGTGAGTATCCAGATGCTGAAGGTGCAGGCAACCACATTTCCCCTTTCCTTCATTGAGGTTTCAAACAATATGTCCGGAAAGTGTCGGTGATACATTCAGCAGCATTCCCTTTCAGTTTTCTGACCCCTATACCAAGCACAAGGCATTCTTTTATTTCCCTGGATGCAATGCCAGAGATCAATGAAAGCGCCCACTGAGCCCCTGCAGCAGGAAAAGTATAGCTTAGTTAAGACTTAGTGTGTGTGTGTGTGTGTGTGTCTTTATATCCCCCAGTGACTTACGACGACCCATGGATTTCATAGGTTTAGGAAAGGAATACTTAGAAGTAATTTGGCCAGTTCCTTTCTCCGAAACAGTCTGTAGCACTTGGGATCTATTGGTGGTCTTCCATCCAAGTTCTTACCAGGACTGACCCTGTCTAGCTTCCAAACTAAGAAGCAGTTCATGTATTTAGGGCAGGTATGGGCAAACTTTGGCCCTCCAGGTGTTTTGGTCTTCGACTCCCACAATTCCTAACAGCCTACCAGAAATTAAGAATTGTGGGAGTTGAAGTCCAAAACACCTGGAGGACCAAAGTTTGCCCATGCCTGATTTAGGAATCCATCTATCCTAGTAATATATGTTCAGGGACTGAGATATAGACTTTCTCATCAGTTGTAGGCAACATATTGTAGCTAATGGAGAGGAATGCTGGCAGTTTTGGTCCAAAATTCTTATTCTCTGCTGTAATGACAAAACAGGTCCTGCTTCTTGAATAATCATAAGAAATAATAAACTTTCTTTCTAGTCCACCCTATATCCTCTGGGTGACTCAGGGCAGTTTACACATACAAAGGCAAATATTAAATGTCTGGCATATACCAAAACATTACAGAAATAAACATAATATGGAATAGTAACAGCATTGCACTAATAAAATGAAATTAAATATGAAAATAAAAACATAGAGCAACTAATCACTAAACAAATACATTTAAAAGCATGGTCAATGATAAAACATCCAACGTAGTCAGCAGAATCAAAAATTATGTAAGCATTTGGCTGTTAGTTGTTCTTAACTGTACCATAATCGCCATAAAGTACAGATAGGACACCCTACTTTTCAATGGCATTACTAAAGTGCTCTAATCCTCCTCCTCCCTTACGCCAAAGTGCAAAAGTGAGTTTTAGTAGCTTTTTGAAAGAGGAGGGTCAGGACCATTTTTATTTGTTTGGGGAGGGTGTTCCAGAAGCGGGGAGTGATCACGGAGAAGGCCCCCTCTCTCATACCCACCAGCCACACTTGTGACAGGAGTCAGACCGAGAAGAGGGCCTCCTCCACAGACCACAGTTCCCAGGATGGGTGGTAGGGAGATGCAATTAGACAACTAGACTGGACCCGAACCATTTACGGCTTTATAGGTAACATTTTGTATTTGCCTGGAAGCAGACCGGCAACTAGTAGAGCTGCTGCAACATGGGAGTCATCCTTTCATGATATGATGTTCCAGTTTACAACCTGTTTGCTGATCTCTGGACTAATTGTAGCTTCCAAACTATCCTCAAAGGTAGCCCCACATAGAGAGCATTGCAGTAGTCCAAATGGGATGTGACTAAGGTGTAGACTAATATGGCCAAGACTGGTGTCTCAAGGTACGGGCGCAGCTGGCACACAAGATTTAACTGTGCGAAGGCACTCCTGGCCACCGCTGACACCTGGGATCCTAGGGTCAATGATGAGTCAGGATTACCCCCAGACTGCGAACCTGCGGATTCAGGGGGAGTGTGACCCCATCCAGCACAGGCTGTAACCCTATTCTCTGTTCTGCTTTACAACTGACCAGGAGTACCTCTGTCTTGTCTGGATTTAGTTTCATCTTGTTGGCCCTCATCCAGTCCATTACTGACAGCCACCGGTTCAGGACCAGGACAGTATCCTTGGCTTTTGGTGGAAAGCCAAGGAATAATAGAGTTGGGTATCGTCTGTGTAAATTTGACACCAAACTCCAAAACCTCCGGATGATCTCTCCCGGTGGATCCAGATAATAGGATCTTTCTGAGATTCATTGGTTGATGCTGGGAGCCTGTGGCTAAGGCTAACCAATGTCCTCCTTGTCTTCTGCCACTCTGTCCCAGTTATGCCACAGGTCGCACTACAGGCGTGGTGCTGGATGCAGGGGATGGAGTGACACACGCGGTGCCCATCTACGAGGGCTTTGCCATGCCCCATTCCATCATGCGGGTGGACATCGCTGGGCGGGATGTCTCCCGCTACCTCCGCCTATTGCTACGGAAAGAGGGCTATGACTTCCACACCTCGGCTGAGTTTGAAGTGGTCAAGACAATAAAGGAGGTGAGGTCAGGGGTTTTTTGGGATGGGGGGATGTTTGAGATGGCTCTTTATATGAATAACATTTTAAGGTAGCTATTTTGACTAACACAGGACACCAGACGCTAGAAATTTTAACTCCCAAGTGGCTGTCAGAAATATTAAAAATTAACTAGGTATTTTTAATTACAAAAATGTGAGTCAAGCACTGAAAGGGTTAAATGGATGCAATGACTCAGCAAAAGCTGCAGTTAAATATAAACAGGTGTACCTGTAGTTTAGTACCCCTTAGTCTGTGAGAGGCCTCAGTGTAAGTAGGCGTCAGTGTGAGAGAATGCCTTAGTTTGAGAGAAGGCCTCTGTGTGAGAAGGTCTCAGTGTGAGGTAGGCCTCAGTATGAAAAGGCCTGGTGTGAGAAGCATGTCTGCTTCGAACTGGAATAGAAACCTACTGATGGATTTAGAAAATGTCCACTGAGTGGCCCCAGAGCCCCCCCCCCCCCCCCCCCCCCCAACTGCACCTCCGTTGACAGGCTAAAGTATTTTTATTCATGGAGGGTTTTAAAGCAGAAAGTCTTAAAACTATGGGTGCTGTATTGTTTTCACTGAATTGGTTTTAAAAGTTTTTAATCTTTTTAATTTCATTTTTTTGTTAACGTGAGAGTTTATTTGTTTTAAGACTAAGTAAAGGTAAGGGGTTCCTCTTGACAGTAATCCTAGTTGTGTCTGATTCTGGGGGGTGGTGCTCATTTCCATTTCTAAGCTGAAGAGCTGGTGTTGTCTGAGGACACCTTCAAGGTCATGTGGCCAGTATGACTACATGGAGCACTATTACCTTCCTGCAGAAGTGGTACCTATTGATCTACTCACATGTGCATGTTTTCAAACTGCTAGGTTGGCAGAAGCTGGGCCTAACAGTGGGCAGCCTATTGATAGATTTTAAGACTGTAGATAGTTTAATTTAATTTAAATGTTTTTATTGTATATCTCTTTTAAATGGTGAGCTTCTTTGAATTCCAGTTTGGGGCGGGAAGTAGAATGATAATCATAACAATAACAACAACAACAATGGCTGCCTCATGTTTCACCTTCCATCTTGCAGAGAGCTTGCTACCTGTCCATCAACCCTCAAAAGGATGAGGCCTTGGAGACAGAGAAGGTGCAGTACACACTGCCTGATGGAAGCACTTTAGATGTAAGTCCCTGGACTAGAAAATGGGGCCTTTTATGGGAGCTGGTGGTAAGAATTCAAAGGCTTTATGCTTTGTCCATATCTGTATGATCAGTGGATCCCAGCCTTCTTCCAGAGCGGATCATACCTTAGATATGGATAAACTTTGACCCTCCAGATGTTTTGGACTTCAACTCCCACAATTCCTAACAGCCTCAGGACCTTTCCTTTTCCCCCTCAACTGCTTAAGCAGCTGAGGGGGAAAAGAAAGAGACCTGAGCCAGTTAAGAATTGTGGGAGTTGAAATCCAAAACATCTGGAGGGCCCAAGCTTCCTGTCATAGGTGCTGTATGGCAAAAGAAGCTCTAGTGACTTACGACTGCTGTATCTCACTGGCTTTGCAGTGTCACACAGCACAGTTAGAACTTAGTTGTCACCCAGTCCCTACTAAATGCTGCTATGGTTCTTCTTGCAGGTTGGTCCATCGCGGTTCCGAGCCCCTGAGCTGCTCTTCCAGCCGGACCTCATAGGAGATGAAAGCGAAGGAATCCATGAAGTGCTGGCATTTGCCATTCAGAAATCTGACATGGACTTGAGGCGAACGCTGTTTGGGAACATTGTCCTATCTGGGGGATCAACACTCTTTAAAGGTATATGGTGCTCCTCAAAACATATTCGCACAATGTGGGATGTTTTACACCATGGGCCAACTCAGTTTTGAGGGCAGTGTCTCTCAACCTGGGAGCTGGGACCCCTGCGGTGGTCGCGAGGGGGGGTCACCAAAAACCATCAGAAAACAGTATTTTCTGTTGGTCATGGGCGATTTATGTGGGAAGTTTGGCCCAATTCTATCGGTGGGGTTCAGAATGCTCTTTGATTGTAGGTGAACTATAAATCTCAGCAACTACAATTCCCAAATGACAAATCAATCCCCCACAAACCCACCAGTGTTCACATTTGGTCATATTGAGTATTTGTGCCAAGTTTGGTCTAGATCTATCATTGAGTCCACAGTGCTCTCTGGATGTTGGTGAACTACAATTCCAAAACTCAAGGTCAATGCCCACCAAACCCTTCCAGCATTTTCTGTTCCTCATGGGAGTTCTGTGTGCCAAGCTTGGTTCAATTCCATCATTGGTTGAGTTCAGAATGCTCTTTGATTGTAGGTGTATAAATCCCAGCAACTACAATTCCCAAATGACAAAATCAACCCCCCGCCCCCAACCCCACCAGTATTCAGATTTGGGCATATCAGGTATTTGTGCCAAATTTGGTCCAGTGAGTGAAAATACATCCTGCATGTCAGATATTTACATTATGATTAATAACAATAGCAAAATGACAGTTATGAAGTAGCAACAAAATAATTTTATGGTTGGGGGTCACCACAACACGGGGAACTATATTAAGGGGTCGCAGCATTGGGAGGTTGAGAAACACTGTTCTAGGGGAATCTCTTTATGGTTTGAAAAGTAGAATTTCCGAGCACTGTGGATGAATTCTAACTTAGAGTACAGGGAATAACTGCCAGTCATATTGTAACTGAGATTCTTTTGAAGAATAGGTTCCAAGTCATACTTACTGAGGGAGGGCGGCATGCCAAAGTGTGCTTGAGCTAGCTTACCTTCCTTCCTTCCTTTCTCTCTTCAGGTTTTGGGGACCGGCTGCTCAGTGAAGTGAAGAAACTGGCTCCAAAGGATGTCAAAATCAAGGTGAGGAATTACTGTATATGCTCGAGACGGTTTTAAACAGTGTATTTTAATATTGGAGCCCCCGGTGGTGCAGTGGGTTAAACCCCTGTGTCGGCAAGACTGAAGACCGACAGGTCACAGGTTTGAATCCGGGGAGAGGCGGATGAGCTCCCTCTATCAGCTCCAGCTCCTCATGCGGGGACGTGAGAGAAGCCTCCCACAAGGATGATAAAACATCAAATCATCCGGGCATCCCCTGGGCAACGTCCTTGCAGATGGCCAATTCTCTCACACCAGAAGCGATTTGCAGTTTCTCAGGTCACTCCTGACATGACAAAAAATAAATAAATGTTGAGACAAATGTTTTTAATGTTTATTTATGCATATAATTCATTCATGTCCCGGCATTGAATGTTTGCTGTTGGTATTTTGTGCTCTGTCTGGCGTCTCCTTCGGGGTGGGAAGAATGGAATATAAATGTTTTTTTAAAAAAACCAAATAAATAAGATGACCTGAATATAAGCCAAGACACCTAATTTTACCATCAAAAACAGGGAAAATATATTGACTCAAGTGTTAGTTGAGAGTTGGAAATGCAGCACCAACTGGTAAATTTCAAAATACTAATAGATACCAATAACATGACATTGAATGAGGCATCAGTAGGTCAAATTTTTTGAATATTTACATTAAACTATAATTTAAGATAAGACTGTCCAACTCTGATTAAACCATTATTTTACCCTTCAATGTAAATGTGCTTACGTATTCTTCCAATAATAATAGAGTAAAATAATAACTGTAATAACATTAAATAATAACAATAATAGAGTAAAATAATAAAGATAATAATAATAATAATAATAATAAATAGAGTAAAACAATAAATGTACTGATAATAATAGAGTAAAATAATACATGTAATAATAATAATAAATAGAGTAAAATAATGTAATAAAATAATTTATTTATTTATTTGTCGTGTCAGGGCAACCAGTCAATTATATTACATTTCTAACAGAACAAAGCAAACAAACAGACAAAATACAAAATTTGTGAGTTTAGTAGTTGATTAAATGTCCTTTGACCAGTAGCTGGCTACTTGGAGTGCTCTGGTGTTTGCAGGAATAAAATAATAATAATAGTAAAATAATGTAAATGTAATAATAATAACAACAAAATAATAAATTTGAGTCGAGTATAAGCTGAGGGGGATTTTTCAGCCTTAAAAGGGGCTGAAAAACTCATCTTATACTCAATTATATAGGTAAGTGAAGAATTTCATTCTCCAGCTGTAAAATCAAGTCCAAGCAACCAGGTGATAGGCAGAAGACTGAGTGGATTACTTAGTCATTAGAATTGGAGGGCAGTTAATACACACTGAGGAAGTAGTTCAGGGTGGGATATTTTCTAGCCATGCAAACGGCTACATGATCCATTTCTCATCACAATGTCCAAGATTTTGGAGTAAAGGGTCCATTTCTGTGATGATGTGACAGAAGGAGGGACTTACATTGGAAATATGCAGGTTTGGTCCATTGATCGGTGCTGTACCTGGGCTTTGTGGTTGGAATTATGTTTATGCATTGAACTGGTTCAGGCTCTGGAAAAATGGGGGAGGAGTGTGGGCAGAGCACTTATGCCTTGTCTTTTCATGGTTGAGAAGTGCTATTGCAATATGTAAGCAGGCCTTGTCTCCTAAGTGTGTTTTCTTCTTTTTGTAGATCTCTGCTCCTCAAGAGAGATTATATTCCACGTGGATTGGGTAAGAGCATTCTTGTAGGGAAAGACAAATAACCTCTCCATCCCAGCTTCTTGTGCTAACAGGGGTCTCTGTGTTTGGTCAGGCATTATACTATCTCAGACTTTCTCACCCTGGGGGGAGGTGGAGAGTGTTTTGTAGGGCAAGTGGGCTTATTAACAAAAGACCCTCCTCATTAACACACAGAAGAGCAACTCATTAGCTGCAGTGTGACCCAACATCAAGTGATAACAAAAACAAAAACACAGAGACCAATGTTATCTCTTCCTTAGGTTTTTCTTTGTAGTAAAATAATATGGTTGCACTATTTACAAAAATAAGGTTTCCATAACACAAATAAACAAATATAAATGCTTTACACACAGCAGCCTTCACACTGGAGCTTTCTCACACAAAGTTTCTCTCACACGGAGGTTTACCTCACTCTCCTCAGGACGACACTATCTTTGGCCCACTGACTCTAACAGGCTTCAGCCTATCAACTCTCCTCAAGACGACACTAGCTTTGGCCCACTGACTCTTAACAGGCTTCGGCCTACTCACTCTCCTCAGGACGACACTAGCTTTGGCCCACTAACTTTAACAGGCTTTGGCCTACTCACTCTCCTCAGGACGACACTAGCTTTGGCCCACTGACTCTTAACAGGCTTCGGCCTACTCACTCTCCTAAGGACGACACTAGCTTTGGCCCACTAACTCTAACAGGCTTTGGCCTACTCACTCTCCTCAGGACGACACTAGCTTTGGCCCACTGACTCTAACAGCTTAGGCCTATTAACTCTCTTCAGGGCGACACTAGCTTTGGCCTACTTATAGTCTAACAGGTTTCAGCCTACTCGCTCTTTCAGTGCTTGACACACACTTCTGTACTCAAAAATACTCAGCTAATTTTTAGTATTTCTGACATGTTTGTGATGAAGTAGTGAAGGCTGAACTAGATGCATTGCCTTCAGCTGATGATGGAGCAGACCTCTTTATTTGTAGGAGGAATCTGCCAAGGTAAGATGTGAGCCTGAATGTTTTTCAGTATTTAAGGAAGAAAATTGTGCAGTTGTCTGTCCCAGGTGCTACAGTTGACACTACCAGTTTTGAAGAAAACTAGAAGTAAACATCCAAAATCTGGGGAGCCTCCCCAGCCACAATGTACTCTATTAGCCATTTGTGTTTCTTGTCCTCCTCGCCTTCCTTGGCTCTCTGACCCTTCTCTCCTGCTCCTTCAACAGCGGCTCTATCTTGGCCTCCCTTGACACATTCAAGAAAATGTGGGTGTCCAAGAAGGAGTACGAAGAGGACGGCTCCCGGGCCATTCACCGGAAGACCTTCTAGGGCAGGGGTCGGTGGCAGCGGCAAAGCGGCAGCGGTGGCAGCAGCAGCTGGTGTCTGTGGGCGACTCATTTGGGTCTTGTCTTTTCTCTCTTAACCCTTTTTGGTCCAGGACTGCTTCTCCCTCCATCATTCCTTCCCTGCTGGTTGGGGCCTCTTCCTGCTTTCCTCCGGGGCCTCGCAGTTTCCTGTCTTAGTGCCCTGTCCAATGCATGTTGCTACCACACGCACACCCCCTTAGGAGGGAAGTGTGTATATATTTTGAGGCCTTGGTTGCGGTGGTGGAAGGCAGCAGCGGCCCCAGCCAGAAAGGGAACTCCAACCTCCATTCTGCCTTCTTCCGATCGGTTCCATAGTGAGGCTGCTGCTGTGACCCGGTCCTTGTCGTGCCTCTACACGGGTCGGGAGGCTACTTTCCTCGGAGGAAGCTGCCGTGTGCCTCCATCTGCTCTGCAGGAAGCAGCAAAGGTCTGTGTGCTTTTTGAGGTTTATGGAGGAAATCTTGAACACTCACATCTTGTCTCGTTGCCCCTTCCCTGTCCCCCAAAAAGAGCAAAGCCTGGTGCAACTGCATGGCCCCTTAAAGCACCAAGGAGGACCGTAACGCCTCCAAATGCTATTGCCCTTCTTCCATTACTCAGGGCTCTAAATCCTCCTGGATTTTGGTGAAGCCTATAAGACAGGCCCTGCTTCTCATGTACGGTCGGTGCCAAGCCGTTCCAGGGAGGAATGAGCAAATGTTGCTCCCATTAGTTCCTCCGGGAGGCACTTTCTCTCCTTCTCCCAATCCAAAGTAAATTGGTGAAGGACAGGATTATACAAGGCAGTTTTCAGGATCTCTGAATAGGAGAGGCGTACCTAGGTTCAGCTGGGGAAACAGAGCAGGACAGGTTTTTTAAAAACTTCCTCCAGCTTCTCCCATTTCAGGAGAGCAGTGTTTACATGTCATCCAGAACTTCTGGATTGGAGGAAGGCAGGCTCCTGTTACTTTACACTGGATGAGGCAGGAGTAGCAGTTTGGGTTTTAGGACCCTCTTTCTTCACCTGTTTTCTCTGGATCTGCTCCATCATGGAATGAAAGTTGGCTAAGTGAGAGCAGACTTGGATGGTTGCATCTAAGGGGTGTTTGGAAGAGTGGGCGAAAGCTCTGCCTCCCCAGTGCTTTCTCCCGTTTTGGCTCTTGTAGAAATGGTGTGGGCTGAGCATTAAATGCCCAGTTTAGCTCTTCTTTCCTTGTTTGACAAGGGATTTTCCCTGGCAACCGGCCCTCTTCTTGGACTGGCCTTCTGTCCAACCCCTTTCCTCTCCATCTCCCCTCTGAGGCGGTGTCTCCCTTTGTTTACACTCAACTCTGGAAATAAAAAACATTGTCCCAGGCTCCATATTCCATCGCTGGGTACAAATTCCCCTTTAAAGAAGAAAATAAGGTTCAGCGGTCTTTGGTAGACAGTGAGGACAAACCCAAGCAAGATGGTTTCGAAGTCCATCTGGGGTCTTTACGGCACCCAATGAACACAGCAGCTGAGAGTCTGGAAGACCTCTGTTCTTCATTCCCTCCTCACTCCAGACATTTTTTGCAGAGATGGTGGTCTCAACCTTGGACTGGAAAGGGTTAATTTTTTTAATGGAAAACTCTTAATTTAAAAGGAACCCCCTGCTGGGGAGTAAGGCTTGTGTGGTTCCACTCCCCCAAAGCGTGTATGTATATTGGCTTCTCCCATGTTATCCACCTTCAGTGATCTATACCAAACGGAGGCAAGACCACCCCCCTCCCCTGCAGAAAAAAGGAACCACCTCTCTGGGCTGCAATGTACAATAATTTAACACAGTTGCCTGTATTTTTATTTTGTAAATTCATTATAGTAATAATTATAAATTAACAGCCAGTGGTTTTTGTGTGCGTCTGTTTACTGGTGGTATTTTTTGGGGCGGTGGGGATTATTTGCAGCCCAAAACCTGCACAGGAGACATGGACCCTCGGGATGTCCTTCAGCAAGATGCATTCGATAGCAACCCCGGTTGCTTACGGCCAATTTGTCATTCAAATATACATAGAGAATGTGTTTCAATATGAAGACAGGAGTTCTGTTTCAAAGCAGCACTTCTCAGTTAGGTCATATGCAACTTATCAGCATTCGAAAAGTGACTCTCAATTCCAGCTCATCTTTTGGTGGTAATCATTAAATCCATGCAATGGTTGGAAGATAGATATAGCAATGGAAAGAATGATCAGGCCTGGATTTGGCCTGAAATTCCTTCCCTGATTTAGAGGAAAGTTGCCTCTGATCCTGGAGATAATGCACAACTGTTATGGCGAATACTCTTTTATAGTTGCTCACTGTCTTTCTTGTATTTATGTTAACGATATAAACATTGAGCCCCTGATGGTGCAGCGGTTAAGCTACTAAGCTGCAGAACTTGCTGACCGCAAGGTCAGCAGTTCAAATCCGGGGAGCGGGGTGAGCTCCCACTCTTCTGCCAGCCTAGCAGTTCGAAAACATGAGAATTGTACAGCTTCAAAAGGAAGGTAACAGAACTCCATGCAGTCATGCTGGCCACATGACCTTGATGGTGTCCCTGGATGCCAGTTCTTCGGCTTAGAAATGGTGATGAGCAGCACCTCCCAGAGTTGGACACCACTAGACAATGTCAAGGGGAAACCTTTACTTGCATATACCCATTGAAGGTAAAAATGTTTTCTTCTAGCCACTCATTTATGCTTCAGGAAATCATTGTAATGTAATACTTTAATTTTATTCCACCCTATCTCCCCAAGGGACCTCAGGGCAGGTCACAGTACACATACACAGCAAATACTCAATGCCGTTTTGGATAGACAAGACAGAGACAGAACAGAAAGGAGGTATGTTGTGTCGACGTCCAGCTTTTTTTTTTTTGGCACCTTGGAGGTTGTGCTTAAATCCAGCCACGGGAGGTGCTATCACTCCATCCTCTATGATGAAGGGCCATCAGGACTTCCTCCTTTTGGTTGTCAGGCATTTTCTGATATTTTTCTTTATGGTGTCATAAAATACCTCCCTGGCTTGTTTTAGCAGTACCGAATTTCTCTACTTACAGCTCAAGCTGTTTTTGAACTGCTTAGGTAAATAGTAAGCTGGGCTGACAGTCAGGAGCTCACACCAGCCATTGGCTTTGAACTGGCAACTTTTCGGTTGATAGATCTTATCATTGCTGGTGACTTACCAGCTGTGCTAAAGCATTGTAGGCACATATCCCTTTGTTGGATCTTTCTGAGTGTACAGATACAGCTGAGGAACATGTCCTCCTTCAGATCTGGAGATAATTTAATTCCCATCAGCCCTAGCCAAGACCAAAACATCTATTTTAAAAGAGGGAGACCATACTCTATCTTTGTACCTGGTCAATATTGACATAAATAAAAGAATTCTATGAAATTTATGTCCCACAGCTTCTTAGTATGGATTTCAGTCTTAGCCGAAGGCCTGGACCACACAAGAAAAGCAATTTCACACAAGGAGTCAAACGACTTTATTCAGTTGCAAGAAATGTGGTACATTGGTGATCCAAACAGCTGTGCTGCTTAGGCTTGGATCTCAGAAACCATAAATAGAGAACTCAGCAGACTTCAGCAGGTCCGTCAGATCATGGCAGCTGGTGGGGAACCAGTTTGTAGTGGGTCCCGCAGGAAGGGCAGCGGTGAAGCTCGCCCTTGTGAACCCAGAACCAGATCACGGCACTGTTGTCCTCCTCACCTGGGAGAGAGAACAGGACAGGAAGTCACTGAGATGCTATGCAACTAACAAAAGGGAAGCAACATTAGTCACGAACCTAAGAGGCAAACACTGTTCATTTAAGGTTTTCTTAACAAACAAGATCCAGTAGCAATCAAGATCAATCAACACATACGAGAGAAAAGTGGACTTGCTAAATAGAACCTGACTACAGCACTGAAGAGAAGCAAACACGGGATGAAGGAGTCACATGGAGCTAAAGAGAAGCATGAGGCTGAACTGCAACTCTATTCTGCTTCAGCCAGCACAATCAATGATGAGACTGCTGGAAGTTACAATCCAACTACATCCAGAGGACTATGCTTGGTGTGTTGCAGCTCTGTCCATGGACCAGGGGAACAACTGCAACTGGTTATTATATTCATCTATTACACAGGACTGGATATAAACCTTAATACAACAGATGTGCCTAGACCCATTGAGCTGTGGTGAGCAAAAACTCTGCTTTAGGAAGGAATCGTGACTAAAATCTGTTAAGATCTTATTCTGTCACGGGGAATGTGTATCAAGTTCTCTTAATGTAAACCAGAGAACACACACTGAATTAATTGTTGAATATAGTTAAATCCTATTGACTTGCTTGGTCTTCTCTAACTGGGGCTAACAACAAGCTATTTACTTTCACCGTGTTCTCTTCTTAGCTTTCCTCCCAGACTTGGAAACTGTTTATCAAGACTCCAAAAAATGCTCATTCCCAGCAGACTATTTTCAAATCATGATACAGAATTATGCACAAACTGTTTCCTTGAAATGTTACGGGTAAGCCAAGGAACCACCTTATATGAGGAGACACTTACAGATACAGCCTACAATGCGCTTGTCTGTGATTGAGGGGACAAGGTTGGGGTCCTCCTTGGTTCCAGCACGCGCTTTGGGTGGAAACATGCTGTAGGGATCCTATAACCAACAAGAGAGAAGGAAGTCAAGAGACGAGCAGAAGACTTAAACTCCAGTGTACCGTTTTCCTGTTAGGATTCTCAGCAATAAATGCGCTTGCCCCAAATATAACCCTTTTGATACTTCCTAAGTAATTTTAGTGTTGCTGCTAAATATAAAAGGACCAACTTCTTGTATATTTAGCATTTACTCAAAAACCAGCCTGTCCAGCTGTTTATTCCTGGGATTCAAATGGAGTGAGCCAAAATTGAGCCCCTATTTCCCAGACCGTTGTTCTTAACAGTTGGGTAGACTGTACTACAGTAAGTCCCATTTTTACGAAAAGTATTGGAGAACTTGATTGCTGCCACCCTCTAAACTCCTCTGAGAATCCAAGCTGCTCAGACAAAGCAAACTGGCAAACCAATCTTTCATAGATAGGCAGTTGCCAATTATGAAGAGCAGAATGAATATCTGATAAGGAGGTTCTTTGTACTCACCAGGCCCTTCTCCAAAGCCTTCAAAACTTTCCTTTCCAATCCTGTCGCTTGCTCTTCATCCGTGGGGATGCCTAAGATAGAGAAGGACAGTGAGAAGCTAGAGGGGAAGGAATCCTGCAATGGATTCAGACAGCAGGAAAATAATGTTTGATGCATTCAGTGAATAACACTGTTCTCTTCTACTGAGTTACATACTAAAAAAACATTCACGCCTAGAAGACCGTTATATGCTGAATACATTGCATTGGGTTAACATGCCTTTACAAGCCCCGCCACCCACTGGAAGCAATCGTGTCAGGCTTGGTGCTGCTAAAATTAAGCCTGCACGGTCTCTGCTTCGCTGGAAACAAATAGAGAGGGAAGGTGGGTGAGCTAAATCTTCCAAGGAGGACCCAAGGGTCCCAACCCATCACCTAGAACCCCTGCCAGAACATGGAGGGGGGCACTAATAGCTGAAGGGCCAGTGGGCTGCCGCAGTGGCCTATACGGGGCCAGAGAAGCCGAGGCCGTCGGATGGTGAGAGTTCCTGAGGGGGAAGGTTTATGCCGAGGATGAGGTTCAGTTGGCCACTACTCCACAATCCAGCCTTGGAGCAGAGACACACTTGGACACAAGTGTTGTTCTAGAACAGCTGTACCAGAAGCTCCAATTTTGTTTGCTTTGCATTGAATGTTTGTTTGCAGTCCTAAGTTTCAGGAACGCTGCAGATAGGTGGCTTCTTTTGGTTGCAGTTATAGGGCAAGCCACCTGCCCATCATCATTAGGTTCCCTAGTTCCGCCCCCTTTTTGGGCTTTGGAGGGAAGGGAGCCATTTCGTAGTTAGTCTCAGCCAGGTTAGCTTATGTATAGGATGTGTGTAACTTCCCCTGTACAAAACCTTCAACCTTCAAGAATTCCAGGAAAGCATCCCCACAGCTTTAAGAATTCCCAAGGGAGAACAGCTTTAAGAGTCTCCTAAGAGCTCCAGGGAAGCATTCCTACAGCTTTAAGAATTTCCAGGAAAACAGCCTTAAAGACTAAAGAACCCCAGCTGGAGAACATCCACTGCCTTGCTGGTAGGTCCACTCGGCATTCGAGAAGCAGTTCGGCCTGGTAGCGGAGCCCACATCAGTGAGGGTTGGATTTCAGTCAGCCTGGGAGAAGTTAAAAAAGGGGTTTTCCTTTAAAGAAGAAGTTATTGAAGATTGTTGCCTGTCCTTCGTGGGTAAGTTTAGGAATTTACCAGTTACCTAAAAGCTTGGAATTATTTGCTTAATTTTACTGAAGACAAGAGAAGTTCCTGTTTGATTGTTCATTAATAAAAGACTTTATTGTACTTCTCAAGCCATCTGAAGACTCTTTGTGGGGGAAACCTCTGAGAACTTCTCCTTGGGCCCCTGGCTTCCCGCTGGGCAAAGGTTGCACATCCTGTACTAAAGACAAATATTTACAGGCCCAGCACATGACAGAACAAGTGTGATTCCAGGTGTGGTCTGACCAAGGCAGAATGCAGGGGTAGCATGACTTCCTTGGATATAGACACTAGATTTCTGTTGATGCAGGCCAAAATCTTATTGGCTTTTTGAGCTGCTTCATGACACAATTGGCTCATGTTAGCTTGTTTCCCAAGCCAGGCATCGTCCCACATTTTGTATCTTTGCATTTCATTTTTTCTGCCTGTGGAGTATCTTGCATTTGAACTTCAATTTGTTAGTTTTGGCCAATCATCTCTCTAATCTGTTAAGATTGTTTGGAATTCTGCTCCTGTCTTCTGGAGTATTGGCTCTCCCTCCCAATTTGGTGTCACCCGCAAACTTGATGATCATGCTTTCTAACCCCTAATCTGTCAGTGGTTTTCAACCACTGTTTTGGCCTTCAACTTCCAGAAATCCCAACAGCTCGTAAACTGGCTGGGATTTTTGGGAGTTGTAGGCCAAAACACTTGGGGACCTACAGATTGAGAACCACTGATCTAAGTCATTAATAAAGATGTTGAACAAAACCATGTCCATGATGGAAACCTGCGATACGCCACTCGTCATTTCTTTCCAGAATGAAGAAGCAGCACTGGGAAAAATCACCCACTGGGTTCATTCACTTAACTAATTACAGATCCACCTAACCGTAGTTTTGGCTAGCCCACATGTATTTATTTCATGCATTTATACTCCGTCCTTCTCACCCCCGAGGGGTGGACTCAGGGTGGTTTACAATAGGCCACCACTAGATGCCGGACATTAAATTAAGAAATATAATTAAAAAACAATTAAAACAATTATAAACATCCAAGATTTAAAATTCTAAAATATCTTGAGTTTAAAATCGTGATCCAAGATCAGTCCATTACCAGTTGCATCAGTCACATTCAAATCACTATATGTATTGCTCAAAGGCTTAAGATTTTTTTTTGGAATGCAAGGAGGGCCTATCTATATAAATAAAAATGTAATGTTCGTTTGTGGGATTAACATAACTCAAAAAATTGATCTTGTCATTTGGGAGTTGTAGTCGCTGGGTGTTATACTTTACTTACAATCAAAGAGCATTCTGGACTCCACCAATGATGGAATTGAACCAAATGTGGCACACAGAACTCCCATGACCAACAGAAAACACTAGAAGGGTTTGGTGGGCATTGACCTTGAGTTTGGGAGTTGTAGTTCACCTACATCCAGAGAGCACTGTGGACCAAACTTGGCGTAAATATTCCATATGCCCAAATATGAACACAGATGGAGTTTGAGGAAAATAGACCTTGACATTTGGGAGTTGTAGTTACTGGGATTTATAGTTCACGTACAATCAAAGCGCATGCTGAACCCTACCAACGACAGAATTGGGGCAAACTTCCCACACAGAACCCTCATACTTAAGGCCATCCAGTCCAACTCCCTTCACCAGGACAAGAAAACATAATCAAAGCCCTTCTGACAAAGAGGCATCCAGCCATAGGTATATATGATTCACACACACAGAGATATAGTATCATAGATTTGAAAGGAACCCCTAAAGAAGGACAATGATGTTGCATGTTCCAGAGTAGGCAAACCAGATAATCTCCAAATCAACACTGACAAAGAAACAGCAAGAAATACTGTTTACCCACAAACATAAAGAAATTGCATATATTAGAAACCAACACCTTCTCATTACTTTATTTTCCAGATCAACAACTGAGCCACAGCAACGCGTGGCAGGGGACAGCTAGTATCTATATAATTAAAAATGTAATGTTCATTTGTGGGATTAACATAACTCAAAAACCACTGGACGAACTGACACCAAATTTGGGCACAGTACACGTATCAAGCGAACAAGTGACCATCACTCATAAAAGCACTGGAAAAACCCGGAGTGCACAATAAAAGCTTGTATATCAACTGTACCTCGGGAAGCCATGGAGCCCCCGGTGGCGCAGTGGGTTAAACCCCTATGCCGGCAAGATTGAAGACCGACAGGTCACAGGTTCAAATCCGGGGAGAGGCAGATGAGCTCCCTCTATCAACTCCAGCTCCTCATGCGGGGACATGAGAGAAGCCTCCCACAAGGATGATAAAAACATCAAATCATCCGGGCGTCCCCTGGGCAACGTCCTTGCAGACGGCCAATTCTCTCACACCAGAAGCGACTTGCAGTTTCTCAAGTCGCTCCTGACACAACAACAAAGAAAACCAAACAAAAAAACCCTCGGGAAGCCATACTTGGCCACGGTGGTCCAGGCCTTAGTTACATCTCGAATTGATTACTGCAATGCACTCTATGTGGGGCTGCCTATGAAGACCCCCTCTATTCTACTTTGGTTAGACCAGACCTGGAATATTGTGTCCAATTCTGGGCACCGCAATTCAAGAGAGATATTGACAAGCTGGAATGTGTCCAGAGGAGGGCGACTAAAATGATCAAGGGTCTGGAGAACAAGCCCTATGAGGAGCGGCTTAAGGAGCTGGGCATGTTTAGCCTGAAGAAGAGAAGGCTGAGAGAGATATGATAGCCATGTATAAATATGTGAGAGGAAGCCACAGGGAGGAGGGAGCAAGCTTGTTTTCTGCTTCCCTGGAGGCTTCAAACTACAAGAGAGGAGATTCCATCTGAACATGAGGAAGAACTTCCTGACTGTGAGAGCCGTTCAGCAGTGGAACTCTCTGCCCCGGAGTGTGGTGGAGGCTCCTTCTTTGGAGGCTTTTAAACAGGGGCTGGATGGCCATCTGTCAGGGGTGATTTGAATGCAATATTCCTGCTTCTTGGCAGGGGGTTGGACTGGATGGCCCATGAGGTCTCTTCCAACTCTTTGATTCTATGAGGTGTTTCAGAAGCTTCAAATAGTGCAAAAGAGGGAAAAGGAAGGGGCCTGAGGCTGTTAGGGATTGCGGGGGTTGAAGCCCAAAATACCTGGAGGGAAGGCCCAAGTCGGCCAAAGTCTGTGTGCAAATGCCCTAACCCAGCCTCACCTCCGGCTCCCATGCAGCGAGAGGCTCCGGCCAGGCGCAGCGGCCCTAGAGGGAGGGCATTCCGGCCCGCGGCGAGGCCTTGAAAAAGGCCGCAGACCCTGAGTAACCTTGACGCCATGGGAAACGCGAGGAGCTATAATACGCCTTGTCCACAGGCCTGTTTCCGCTTTCCGGGGGAGGGACTTCCTCCCATGCAGGCGCCGTTTTAACCAACCGTTGTCCAATGGGTGGAAAGAAAGGAAACTTCACTCCCAGGCCACGCCCACGAGGCAACGCGTCCAATGGGTGCGCAGCTCCGGCGGTTACGGCCACGCCCATTGAGCGGCGCGTCGGAGGGGTTGCTGTTAGCCACGCCCACGCGTGGCTAACAGCAACCCCTCCGACGCGCCGCTCAATGGGCGTGGCCGTAACCGCCGGAGCTGCGCACCCATTGGACGCGTTGCCTCGTGGGCGTGGCCTGGGAGTGAAGGTTCCTTTCTTTCCAGTCAGTAGGGAGGCGCCATTTTGGAGTGGAGTGGAGAGGAAGGGAAGGAATTGACCTCGTTGGAAGGAAGCTCAGCTAGGCCTGGGCTATGTTTTGTCACTCTTCTTATAGGATTCTTATAGGCTGAGGGAAAAAGGAACTTTATGTATGGCTTCCCTGGAATGAGAATATAAACTTCAGGCAACTCTGGCCCTTTCACTTTTAAGAGGGAAAAAACAGCATATAAAGCAGTGTTTCTCAACCTTCCTAATGCCGTGACCCCTTAATCCAGTACCCCGTGTTCTGGTGACCCCCAACCATAACATTGTTTTTGTTGCTACTTCATAACAGTCCTTTTACTACTGTTATAAATCATAATGTAAATATCAGATATGCAAGATGTATTTTCATTCACTGGACCAAACTGGGCACAAATACCCAATGCACCCACATGTAAATGCTAGTGGGGTTGGGGGAGGATTGATTTTGTAATTTGGGAGTTGTAGTTGCTGGGATTTATAGTTCACCTATAATCAAAGAGCATTCTGAACTCCACCAGCGATGGATTTGAACCTAATTTGCCACACAGAACTCCCATGACCAACGGAAAACACTGGAAGGGTTTGGTGGGTATTGACCTTGAGTTTGGGAGTTGTAGTTCACCTATATCCAGAGAGCACTGTGGACTCACGCAATGGTGGATCTGGACCAAACTTGGCACAAATACTCAATATGCGCAAATGTGAACACTGGTGGAGCCTGGGGAAAATAGACCTTGACTTTTGGGAGTTGTAGTTGCTGGGATTTATAGTTCATTACAATCAAAGAACATTCTGAACTCCACCAACGATAGAATTGGCTCAAATTTCCCACATGGAACCCCCATGACCATCAGAAAATACTGTGTTTTCTGATGGTCTTTGGCGACCCCTCTGACACCCCTTCGCGACCCCCTCAGGAGTCCCGACCCCCAGGTTGAGAAACACTGTCCTAGAATATCATAATAATCATGATGATAATAATAATAATAATAATAATAATAATAATTTATCAGCAACTAGACCATTGTATTATATTCCTAACAGAACAAAACGAACAAACAGATAAAAAACCCCCCACACATTTTGCAAACTTGGTAGTTGATTCAATGTCCTTTGACCAGTATCTGGCCACTTGGAGTGTCTCCGATGTTGCCGCAAGAAGGTCCTCCATTGTGCATGTGGCAGAGCTCAGGTTGCATTGCAGCAGGTGGTCAGGAGCCCCCGGTGGCGCAGTGGGTTAAACCCCTGTGCCGGCAGGACTGAAGACCGACAGGTCGCAGGTTCAAATCCGGGGAGAGGCGGATGAGCTCCCTCTATCAGCTCCAGCTCCTCATGCAGGGACATGAGAGAAGCCTCCCACAAGGATGATAAACATCAAATCATCCGGGCATCCCCTGGGCAACGTCCTTGCAGACAGCCAATTCTCTCACACCAGGAGTCAGTTGCATTGCAGCAGGTGGTCAGTGGTTTGCTCTTCTCCACACTCGCATGTCATGGATTCCACTTTGTAGCCCCATTTCTTGAGGTTGGCTCTGCATCTCGTGGTGCCAGAGCGCAGTCTGTTCAGTGCCTTCCAAGTCGCCCAGTCCTCTGTGTGCCCAGGGGGGAGTCTCTCATTTGGTATCAGCTGTTCCGGCCCAAGTTACCTATCCGATCGCATCTCCACCTACGAACCCACTAGGACTTTGAGATCTTCCGGGGAGGCCCTGCTCTCGATCTCGCCTGCAACACAGGCACGGCTGGCGGGGACGAGAGACGGCCTTCTCGGTGGTGGCCCCTCGGCTGTGGAACGCCCTTCCCACGGACATTAGATTGGCTCACTCTTTGATGGTTTTCTGGAGGAAAGTGAAAACCTGGCTATTTGAACAGGCGTTTGAATAAGCAGTGCAATGACTTCAGGAAATGGAACCACGACAGACGAGTTTGGATGATGATTCTAGTTATGAGACACCACTTGAATGTTTATTACTGTTAAATTGTTTAATTTGTTTCTGTGTTAATTGTTTTTAAGTATCTTGTTGATGCCGCATTGAATTTTTGCCTTGATTGTTTGCCTTGTTCTTGCTTGTTGTAAACCGCCATGAGTCGCCTTAGGGCTGAGAATAGCGGTATACAAATGAAGTAAAATAAATAAATAAATAAATATCACCCACAGATTGAGGTGCTGGGTTTGAGCCTGCCACTTTTGGACTCTCGCTTGCTGAGGTGTTCCAGCGAGTGTCTCTGTAGATCTAAGAAAACTATTTCTTGATTTAAGTCGTTGACATGCTGGCTGATACACAAACAAGGGATGGGCTGGAGATGTCACTGCCTTTATTATTATTATTATTATTATTATTATTATTATTATTATTAAAACTTTATACCCTGCCACCATCTCCCCAAGGGAGCGGCTTACATGAGGCCAAGCTCAACAACACATCAATAAAAACAAAAAGCAATAAACAAAAACAATAAATACAATACAATTAATATAAATCACATATAAACAATAACCAATAAACAGTAACACACAAGGATTTAAAAACCAGCTGCTGATCCAGATAAGAAGGAATGTAATAGTTTAAAATGTAATAGTTTAAAAATTAAAAAAATAAACGCCGGGCATGAACAAGGTAGGATATATCTGGTATAGGGTTTTAAAAATAATACTAATAAAAGAGTAAAAGAATAAATATCCTTGACTCGAGTATAAGCCGAGGGGAGCTTTTTCAGCCTAAAAAGAGGGCTGAAAAACTAGGCTTATACTTAAGTATATACAATATATACATATATAGAGAGAGACAGTGGTGTAGCATAGATAATATAAATTTATAGTGTTTTTCGGGAGAAAAGCCCTCTAGTTCATTGTAGAGCTGAGGAAACTTACAATGAAAGTAAAGCATTTTTAATATACTGTATATTGTTTATAGTGGATGTCTTCTGGGAGCTGGCCATAGAATTGCACTGGAAGACTTAGCCTTGATCACTTCCGTATCGTCCAGTTCAAAGCAGATAACCTGGATTCATAAACTGGATTATAGGGCAGTGTAGATGGGGCTCTTCCGATTCCTCCAGCACGACCTTACTGTCAACTTTTGCTGGAAGCCAACCATAGATCTGAACGGGAGGATCGAGAGAACATTTTGAAAATCCAGTCCCATCAATATTCAAAACTGGAAATGTATTGTATTTGCATAAGGGGGGAATCTTGTTACTGATTGGCTCACCCTGTCGCCAGCTTTAGTGCCCTGCTTCTGATTGGCTGCTTTAGGAATGCATTCTTTTTGTTTATTTTCAAAACAGGTGGGAGTTAGAGAGCAGTTGGAGCAGCCAGGTAAGGACTTCCTCCAAGTTGAAGGAGTAAGACTGCTTTCCTTCTTGTCTGGATCAGCAGCTGATGAGTTTCTGACGCTTCCTTTCTATCTTATTGGTGTCAGTATGCTTCAGTCAACCAGATTTCCCTCAAAAGTGGGCTTCATCAGGCCTAACTCACACCCAAATTCATTTCTACAAGGGAATCCTGCAATTTATCCTGAATTTTCATCCCCAAGGCCTTCATAGCTCTCTCAATGAATGGGCCAAATGTTAAGATGGCCTCTGTCTGCAAATGCAACAACCCCCCCCCCCAAAAAAAAACCCCTCAAGTTCCTGTCATTTTTCACCTGGTGGGTGCTGCAGTGATCCAGGGGAGCTGTAATGGCCACAGGTGCATTTGGGGGCGATGAATAATTGTAAGGGGGCGGTGAAAGCATAAAAGAAAGAAGAAAATATTTCAAAAAATTGATTTCCAGAGGGGTAGGCCAAATAAGTTTGGGAACCACTGATTTACATTTTTCAATAGATATGGTCACCAGGCACAAACTTTTCATTAAGAAGTTCTGCTTTGAAGGGGGCAGAAACAGAAAGAGAAGAAGCCCTGGAAATGGCTCCTCTTGTTTAATGAATGGGAGTGAAATATCTCCTGGTTCACAATTGGGAAAGCAGTACGGCAGGGCTGTATACTCTCACCCGACCTATTCAACCTGTATGCAGAACACATCATGCGACGTGCAGGGCTTAACGAATCCAAGGCTGGAGTTAAAATTTGCTGGATGAAATATTAACAACTTTAGATATGCAGATGATAGTACTTTGATGGCTGAACGTGAGAAGGAGCCTTCTAACCAAAGTAAAAGAAGAAACTGCAAAAGCTTGGTTTCAGTTAAATATCAAGAAAACCAATATAATGGCAACCAAAGTGATTGATAACTGGCATATAGAGGGAGAAAATGTGGAGTCAGTGACAGACTGTATTTCTAGGCACGAAGATAACTGCAAGTGCCGTCTGCAGCCAGGAAATCAGGAGACGCTTCCTTCTTGGGAGAAGAGCAATGACCAAATATCACTCCTGGTGGTGGTGCCCAGCTTATTTGTCTGAATGTATTTCCCTCTTGGTGGTCTGGGCATACCAAATCACCTTATCTCCTGAGGAATCTATGTGAGGACCAAGTAGCAACAGTAAGAACTGACCATGGAACACCAGACTGGTTCAGGATTGGGGAAGGCATACAGCAGGGTTGTATACTCTCACCCAACCTATTCAACTTGTATGCAGAACACATCATGCGATATGCGGGGCTTGACAAATGCAAGGTTGGGGTGAAAATTGCTGGAAGAAACATTAACAATCTTAGATATGCAGATGACACCACTTTGATGGCCGAAA